CGTGCTAGATACATTTGATAAAGTTATTTGTAATTATCAAGGGTTCGCCTACAGAACGAAAATCTTTTCTTTTTCATATTCTATTAGACCCGATGGAGAAAAAGAGTGCCTTCGTGAAACAAAATACGTTTCATTTCGGCTTGTACTTTTAGCGAAGATTCATTATCGTACAAATGTCCTTGATAGATAAATCGAAAATATAGTTAATAATAGCTGACGCAACAGCGATAGTACGAAGGTCGTACTGGCTCTATTTCGCTTCGTCATCTCGCTATCATGCAAACAAAGCAAACAATCATCAAAACATGTTTCTCTCATAAAGATCGAACCATTATTTCACTAACCACATTCGTTATCATTCGTATTCTACATTCTAGATCATGCTTCGAATGCGTGCTACGTACATCTGTTACCCATTTTATCAGTTTTCGCGTTCGTCTCTTAATCACCCACTCAATAGTACCCATAGAGAAGTGATGCGATAGGAGCACGAATATAAAAAGTACGAATATCATCGCGTGTGTGTGTGTCTTGTACTGCGTAGATCAGTGTGCGTTACCCATATTCGAGAATGACAAAAGGCTTGTCTGAATCAAACACGAATCAACATGATCAAATTCGTCAATTATGGCTAACAGCCGATTGTGTTTGTTTCGATGTTGATTCAACAGTGTGTGTGGATGAAGCTATAGATGAATTAGCAAAATTTCAGCAAGTTGGTGCTTTAGTCGAAGCTATTACACGAAATGCTATGGGTGGAAATATGAGTTTTCGTACGGCATTACAAGCACGTCTCAATTTGATCCAACCAACACGTCAACGTTTAGAACAGTTTGTTAAAAATCATCCATCAAAATTAACCGACGGTATCGCTGAATTGATTGCTTTATTGCATGAGCGAAACATTCCGGTGTATTTAATAACTGGTGGTTTTCATTCAATTGTTGATCCAGTAGCAAAATCATTAAATATCCCACTGACAAATGTCTTTGCCAATCAATTGTTGTTCAATGAAGACGGATCTTATGCTGGTTTCGATGAAGAAGAAATGACGTCGGATTCCGGTGGTAAAGGTCGTGCTATAGAATATTTGAAAGCGAAGTTTGGCTACCAACGGTTAATTATGATTGGTGACGGTGCAACCGATATGGAAGCCAACGCTGACGGCTTTATCGGTTTTGGTGGCAATGTTGTACGAGAATTAGTTCGAGATAATGCTCCATGGTTTGTCAATTCCTTCTATGTACTTACGGATGAACTTAGAAATAATCTCCTCAGCACAGTCCCACATCGTCGGTCTTTTCACGAACGCAAATATTCGACTGAAATAGAAGCAAATTAACAAAAGAATAAACTGTTTCTAGTTTTTGTATGTTGTTCAAATAAACTGTTTTGCTCTCTTCCAACAAATGAATTAATCTTTTACGCAGAATCGATCGGTCGTTGGTATGATAGGTTTGAATAAAGTATATTATTCAACATGAAGAACGTCAACGGAGTTACTGCACTTGTCTATACTACAATTTGACTATTTCGTCTTAAAAATAGTGCAAAGTCTGAAGGCAGGCTATGTTTCTTGGGTACAGCCCACTAAGTTGAGATAAATATAGAATATATTCGATTCGTTGATTGTTTCGTCCAAGTGACCTACGAAGTAATCGAAAAGTGCATCGAGGGAATGAAGATTTTATTTCACATAAGATAAAGTGAAGCAATGAGAAAAACATGTCATGTATGTATATGCGTATAAATATATATTTGTATGAATATAAGGAGATATGCTGAAGAGAAAAATGAGAAAGAACTTTCGAAACATGATATTGTTAATTAGATTTTGTCGCCGCTGCACGTTGATGAAGTGTACCTTCGTTTGAATCCGTTTCCATGGGATGAACACGAGCATGATTATTTCGAGGACTAAGTTTGCGTCCTCCACTTGAATATTGTCTTTGCCAACCACTTTCATTATCATCATCGGACACCTTTCCATTTCTATTCGTTGTTGGCGTTGGCACTCTCGTCGATACAGCAGTTGATGGACGTGTTGTACTATCACTATTCACTGACTTGTCGTTTGACGTAGTCGATTCATCTCCTTCTTTTTCCAGAATACCAAGTTTACGGCCAATCCAACGGAATTTAGCTACGATTTCTTCTTGCATCAAATCGAAGCACATGGCTAGAATTGCCATACCAAAAAGTACGTAGATCGAACCGAGAATCAGCTTGTAAACAGGATCATCTTTCTTTTGACCAGGAACCTACAACAAAAATCGTAGTTCAATACCGTGAAAAAATCATATCATGAGGAATGTTTGATGCAATGAAAATGAAGACTTACAAAGTCACCAAATCCGATTGTTGCTAAAAGAGAAGAATTAGACTTGTTAAGAAATTCTATTCATTAAATATTCTTACACAATGTAATAAAACAGAAATATCCAGCTTGAGTCATAGTCCATTGTTCGAATCTATGAAAAATCAACGATCCGACAAAGATATATACGGCAATGATTAACATCGTAATTGTCAGTGGCACTGTCACACGTTGATCATCTAACGATTCTTCCACATCATTAGCTTCATTTTCCAAAGTCTTCGGTTGTCCTTTCTTTTCTGATGATTCGTTTATATTGTCATCTGCATCCCATCCATTACCTTTCGTTCCATTGCCATCCATATTATTTACTCGGTTTTCTTCTGCTTTCGCTTTTCGTGCTTGTGCGCGACGCCTCTTGATCATATAGCAAGCACCACAACATATTCTTCCATATACAAACCGGAACATTTCTCCTAGCACACCGCTAATATTCGCGATACAAAGAAGAAAAATTGGAATGCCTAAACAGAGCGTATCGTATTGAGAAGAAAAACACGACGTTCCAATTCTCTTACCAATTGTTGCATAACATATGCAACAGATTTGACCTTCCCCTATAAAACACAAAAATTATTTTTTGGTAAAAGAATATCGAGCGTTCAAGAGTAATATCTCTCACATGTTACGGGTCTAAAAAGAAAAAAATACGATTTCTTGACTGTTTTCTTCGAATTTAATCATTCTTACGTGATGTTTCCATAGCCAATTGTAGTAATAATCGTGATTGCGAACAATAATGCATTCGCAAGTGTCCACTTGGTAGACGAACAATCATCTCCATAGTACCGATATTTTGATCCAGTTGATATAATAAAATCTCGATAACTGTATAACATTGTCGCGATCTTTTCATAAGCTACGGTTTGATTATCTCGTTCGATGACGTATGTTGCCGTTGGAGCGGATATTGGCGAAGGCGGTGGTGAAGTTACTGAAGTGTTGTATTTCACATAGGAGACGATTTTTTGTTTCAGTTTCATTAATTGCACGGCGATTTCACCTTGAGCTTCCTGACAATTCATTTTTTCTTGATGTTGTTCGAGTAATTCGAATAGAAATCCCCCGGCGATTGCATAAACAACAACAAGACCGACGAGTCCAACATGTGAGACAAGAAATTTCGCTGTTTGCTTGACAAATCTTCGACCTTTGGACATTTCGACCTCGTCTAGCTCCCGACCAGGACGATTATTCGAATATACATGCTCACCCTCACCCTCAAACTGATTTCGTCGCGAATCACTGTAGTCGTCTACAGGGTTCTGGTATTGTGACATTGTTTTTATTTTTGCTAGTTGCACCAAACTAAACACATCCACAAAAGAGAAAAAAAGTAATCTAATAAATTCATCTCGAAAAACAATTCACAGTGTTTTTTTCTTATTAGTTTTTCTCTATTTTACTTGAATTTTTCTATATACATATATCTCGATCTCATTCGGTAAATGTTGTCTAAGTTTTTTCTTTCACCTCCCGTTTCTCTCTTTTTTCGGCAACATTACCCAACGTTTTCCTTTTGTATGAGAAAAAAAATTGATTTGGATAGACGAGAAAAAGAAAGAGGCCAGTGTCTCTCGGTAGAGACCTGCCGTTTTCTCATTTTCCAGAAACTTTTTTTTCTCCATATCATATTCATCAGCGTATATATACAAATGTTTACCATCAACTACTTCCGATGCCGACGACACCCAACATAACTCGACCGGTGTGTTGCACATAATCAAGAAGAAAAGATCATAAATATTTTAGTTCGTTTATTCAAATCTTCTTGGAAATAATAGAAAAAAGAGCAACTAAATCAAATAGAAAAACACTTGATTTTGCCAGTCAACTCATTGTGAAAGGAAAGTCTATTCGAATGAATCCGGAATATTTCTAAATAAGATTAGTGTCAAGTCATGCAACAATCATTTAATGACTTGCGAGAACGTCATGTTTAGAAGAGGAAATTTTCACAATAAGTAAAAGTAATTTGTCGATGCCTCTTCAAACAATTTCATTAAAAGGTATCATCAACAGCATTTTTATCAGAAAATACTCTCTTGCTATATTTCGAAGGTTATTGAAAACTTTAAATATTGATGTAATATGATGAAAGTAAATGTTATACACAATAGACGCAACTTTGTACTAGAGAGAAACAAAAATAACTCTGATCTTAATGACTACGCAGGTACGGTGAAATCGACCGTCATCGAGCGACATATTCGCCATTGGTTAGTATTATTCGTTTTGGGTTTGTTTCATTCACCATGAACTCGAATCGACTACTGCAAGGAACATTTACCTAATGAATGATAATATTTTGATTTCTATGTATGCAATTTTGTCGGGATTACCGTCGAAAGATTTATATCATCTTCGTTTTGTTTTTTGTCCTTATCTATTTAAAACTTTATTCAAAAAGTGACAAGAAAAATAGAAAACAACCATCATCATCATCATCATTACCATCAGGTTTGATATGTCATTCGTTAACCGATATCTTCTTTCGTGTGTTGGTTCTGTCGTCTTCTTTTTTGCTTTACTTATATCATTTTTTTGAAGATAACTGAAAGAACGATTGATAACGACTGAATAAAGAGAGAGATTTTATTCTTTTGTTATTTTAGAACTCAACATGGATCATGTCCATGATCATGCAGCAATGGCATCGACAACTAGTTCTGTGATGAACCACGATCATCATATGATGGAACAAATGTCTGACACCAATTCCATGTCGACTGGTCATGGACTTCATAATATGAAAGATATGATGATGATGGCCGTGAGTATTCGTCTTTGTTTTTACGAATAATCGAGTTCATATGTAAAAAGACATTTCTATTGTTCGATGATGATTCAAATAACGGAATATATTGTTTGCTAAGAATTTCGTTTTCTAAAAGATGACCTTTCACGGCGGCTACACCGAACAAATCCTCTTCGATCAGTGGAACACAAAAACAGTCGGCTGTACGTATTTCCTATCAAACTTTCTTCGGAAAAAAACAACTTTTTCTTCTTCATCAAGCATTTGTTGGCTCATGGTTCGCTGTATTTCTCGTTGCTGTACTATACGAAGGATTAAAGTCCGTCCGAGATAGTTTAGCGAGACGTGAATTGTGTGAAACATGTTCTCCGAGTCAAAATCGTACACAAACTATGTAAGTGTACTTATCACACTTCGCATACAAATTAAAAATGCTTTGCAATGCTTGCTATTTATTTGCTTTATAAATATGATTGTTTTCCTTTGTGATTGCTTATTAGTCTCCCGGACGATGAACATCATGTATTCCGAAATCATGAAACTGTACGGTGAGAATTGATTTGTTATTATGATAAGCATTATTTCATTCAATCTCGATCTTCTATTGGAATGTTTTTCATGTTTAGGGGTCGTTTATTCAGTATGGCACACATCGTTCAGACATTGTTACATATTCTTCAAATGACTCTTAGCTATGGGTTGATGTTGGTAGCGATGACATTCAATACGTATTTATTTTTCGCCGTTGTTCTTGGTGCTGGCATGGGACATTTTCTTTTCGGATGGCGTCGTTCATCTGCTATCGATTATAACGATCATTGTCATTAAGATTTTCAAAGACAACTAACATATGTTTGTTTTTTGTAATTTTTTCCTGCTAATATAATCAGTTTTTTTTTCGAATTCAAAACTGTTCCACCTTTTTCTTACGCTGACTATTGTATTCGATAGTTAGTTTTGTTTTATACTTGCATGAAATTCAATAGAAATATGTGACCGCAACCTATGTCAGTGATTTGGATAGAGTTTCAAAACGGCTAATGGGAAAATCGCTTGCATTTTGTGTGAATGACTTCGAGGATTTACGGAGCAACACTTTTCAGAGCATCCTGAAAGATTCCATTACTTCTGCTTAGGCAACTGCCGTTCTAATGCTTCTCATCTCGACGTGCGAAAGAAACATCTCTGACGTAAGAAAACAAACATTTCTAATCTCGTTTAACATAGCAGGAAATTCGATGTAATGGAAAAATTTTGTTTTTTTTTCAATTACGAATGTAGGTACGAGTCTTCGCGAAGAATATATTCATTGTAAAAAATTATCCTCCTAGCAAAAGCCATCATATCCATCTAATTGATCATTAGAAATCGTTAGGAATCTTGTCTCTGTATAGATTTTATTTTCGTTTTTCGAAGAAAAATAGAACTAAGAAAAAAGAACGTAATGAAATGTATATGATCAAATTGATTATTTCTTTTGAACCTAGAGAAGAAAGTTTATTATGAAAAACAAGCTCGGTGCAACGTTCGTCTCTTACCGGTAGATATAATTTGAATTCCGGCGGTAATTCATCTTCGGAATAGAGTCGATCCGAGAAGTAAACACGTCGAATACGACAATTAGCATGAATCTAGAAACGATTTTCATCTAAGAAATCTTTCTAATGGGGAAGTACTTACTTGAACTCGAAGCGTTTCGATATAATTAGTACCATAGGCGCGTCGAGTAAAGTCCGATAGATTGAATTGAATCTGATTCCAACCATCATCCAAACGCATTGGCATTGTACAGATAAATGGTTTTACACGCGTAGTTGATTGGTAATTACTGGCTCGGAATCGACGACGAACGTTTCGATCATCGAGAACCTACGATTAGCATTCGAAAAGCCGAACGATTCTATGAAGAAAAACGCCTACTTGAACTTCGAATGTGAAGTATTTCTTTAGATTTTTGATAATCATAACAAGAAACGGTAATTTAATGCCAAGAGTTTTTTTTGGATCAGCTGGACATGTGATATATGTGGTACTCACATTTGTGCCAACTATTTCCAAAACAAGCGATTGAATTTCATTATCTGTGATTCTTTTGATATGTCCATTACGTACCTATACCGAAACAAAAGATGATAAACCTAAAGTTTGCTTTTCGATTTTATCGTACTTTCTTGTCCCAGATCTGTAGCGGTTTACTACCGATGCTGTACAATATGGAAAGAAAGCCACTTTGAAACGTATTTTTGAACATATCTCTGAAAGAATAAACGAATAATGAGAAGAAAATGAAGGAGTTTGTAGCAAGTCAGATCGTCATAGATACCTCAGTCACTCTGGAAACACTGTGTTGATCGACGACAACGAAGACTGTTTATTTCTCTTTTTCTTCTTTGCAAATATGGCTGAAGTATCACCTAGTAACTGACTCTGGTTAAAAACTCGCGAAGTCTTGTTTTTCGCTCAAATTTCGAAAGTAAACTTCATGCTGATTTAGATAACTTTTGAGACAAAGATCGTCGACTTGCCGGATTATTTTCATACGAGCGATAGAGGGCGTGAAAAGACGTTTTCAAGGGTCTTTTATGTGTCGCTGAAACGAACGTTCTGAAGTGTAGAAAATCAAATTTATTCTCCATTACGGATTAAGTGATGCATACTCGAAACATCGTTTCGGAAATGGTAAATTTATGGAAATCTTCGCGTGTTTTTTTATGCAGATTATCAAGTATGCTCATAACAATTCGATTCAAATTGAAGGCTTTCTTTTCAAGAAGACAAGCATGACTTCATTGTATGGTAATACATCCTTTAAAACTGAATTACTAAGTAAAGAGTCAAAACAAACGAGAGTTAGCTAGAAAAATTTATTGAATATTAAAAAAAAAGACAAATATGATTGAAAGCACGTTTATTTGATAAATCATTCACGTTGTATATCACAGAATCATTTCATTATAGCATCCATGTTGGTGTGAATGCTGTAAAGTTCCATTTATCTGGCTGACCAATATGTGAAAATTTCGTGTTGTAATCAGATTCACTCCAGACGAATGGCGGTTGTTGGTCAGATGTTGGACCAGCAACGGCGACAAGTGTGAAATTTTGCATCAATGCATAACTTGTAATCTGGAACACATAGAAAACAGTAAGACTTGCTACCAGAATGGAACATTGATACTTACTTTAGCATCGGTAGCACCGTGAGGACGATGTCCCAGTGGTTCATCGGGATAATGTCCGTCGGCTAGATTCAAATCACATCGAGCAGCGATTGTCAGTTCTGCTGAGTATGGTGGAGTGCAGTTACAAGCCGACAAATTATCGTTTTTAAAATCATTGTATCTGAAATGAGAAGAATTTTTGTTTAGATGCAACACGAATTGTTTTCTATTCGAATACCGCATCATCTTGATCATTGATGGAAGATCAACAACTTTGTTTTGATCGCGTCGAAAGATTCTGGCACGGGAAGAATCATGCCATGAGTATAATTCTGGTCCTTTCTTCTGAACCATCGCTTCTTCACCGGACAAATTTCGGAAGTCAGGAAAATAAACATTATTGTACGACGCCCAGTAAGTATCCGCATTCAATTTATCAGTCATATCTATATACTCGAAATCTGTTACCATTTGTTCAGCCACCATTAGAAATCTGGAACAGGAAAAGCTATGAAACAAACTATTCGTCTTTGAAGCACAACTTTACCCAGCTTGGGGTTTCTGTCCTGGCGTGAATCGCTTGAAATCTGTAATCATCCATTCGTTATTGTATGTTCCATCATTGAAAGCAAAGAATTTATCAATCCATTCTTGTCCGTTATTCGATAGTCGATTTGATACGACCACGCGAATCCATTCAGGTACCGAGATGGGAATGATATTGTGACGTAGATTCTCATTAAAATTAACAATTGTCGTTTCAATGATAGTCAGATTAGCTGGACGTGTCATGTAAAAGTCATCTAGAATTGACACAATGTTTCGAAATGATGCTGATCAGTGACTAGAAGAACTAACCGACGGAGTGAAGTGTACCAGGATACGATGAGAATATGATTTCGGCACCTGGAACTGTTGCACCTAGAGTTAACAAACGATATAGATTGAGATCTCAAATCCTGTAGACGTACTTGCGACATCAATTGAACGTTTTAATGGCATGTTGTAACGTTTGATGACTTTTAACATTGATTTAAAGTGACTCCAATCAGCATGGGAAACGAAGACATCCGAATTGCCTGGTAAAAGCTAGAGCGGATGAACATGCAACCTATAATTAGTATGCATTTGCAGGCTTTATTTACTTTAATCAACGCTGAGCAACTATCGTGTCGTTCAACGTCTGGAATACCAAAACGCTCAGCTAAATCGCCAACGGATTCTACCACTTGAAATAATCTAAAGAAAACAACCGGTATTAACACGAACTCACTACAATTGTCTTACAGGAATCCAAGTGGATCATCAAGTCGACGTCTTGGTTCACGTGGCGTATTGTAATGTCCATCGATAAGACCATTTAGTTGAATAAGAAGCAAATCAACCTACATAAACACAAACAGCTAAACGAAAAAACAACATCGTTAGTTGCGCGTACTTGATGCCAATATTCATCATCAGGATAACTTTCAATTTGCGTATACATCCAATCGAGTTGTATACTGAGAAATTCTTTGAAATAGTTACAAAATTTTGTTTTATTAGCACAAATATCATCGATATTGTTCTGCCATTGCATCCAGGTCAAATCTATCGAAAAAAGGACGAATCGATATCGATCAAATTTACCAAGACTAAATCCAACCTCGTGTCAATTGTCCTTCGAGTAATCCAGCTGAATAGGCTTGATCGAAATTTGTCTGATTTTCCAAAGTTTTGATTTCTAATACTGACCAACCAGTAATATTGTAAGTTTGATCCCAAAATCCACTGGCTAAGACATTGTCAACGTTTGGATTAGGCTCTTTGTAATCGTGTGCTAAAGCTGTGACAATTTCGTATTTGCCATTTTTCTTCACAATATGACCTCGATATCGTTGAAAAGATGGATCATCATTAGCTGATGTGAAGAGAAAAAGTGCAACAAAGACGAAACACTTTGCAAACATTGCTATCTAAAAGAAACGAATGAATAAAACAGAGTCTTATTCGAATGTTAACATTATTTATAAAGAACAGATAAGAACAGACGCTCGTCGCTCTTTCATTCTCCTTTGAAACCATCGAGATTGGTGGTTAAACAACAAATGAATAATCATTCCAATAGACTTTCGTATTTTTTCTTTATTCTTAAAACTTATTTTTTTTAAACAGATGTTGCCCGTAAAACTAAGCAACACTTGGCAAACAGCTGTCATTGAGATTCTCTTCTTATTTCTATTTTCGTCTTCATCAAATATCAATTAATTTTCCTCTTTCAATCTCATTTAATATTTCTGAAGAACATGTCAAAATGTCAGAAACTTAACGTCGGAAGTTCCCTTCTTACGGCGTCATTTTCAATTAGAAAACACAAAGACATCTCGTCAAAATCTTTTTGAAATTTATTTGTTGACAGAAAAAAAAAACGTCTTTATCATCACCGATCCAACGAAAGAATAAAAGAGGACAAATAATAAGCCAAAACAAAAGAAATGGAGAAAAGAAGGGTATGAGCAACAACAACAACAACATACATGTATTGATCAATCAACGGAAAAATAAACAAATGAAAATGAAATACTTTTTTCCTATATATGTATATATATATTTATATTGTCAATTAGAAAGAGAATCTTTCGAATGAATAGTAGATACGTGCTCGCCCTTAAGAGAAGAAAAGGAGAGTCAATTTCACAAATAAAAAGAAAACAATCGAATCCTTAGTGTCAAACATAGGCACACAAAATATTGAGGTAGAGAACTGAGACAACATTGAAGAGGAATGAAATACTCCAAAGAGAAGAAGGGTGTTCAACATATGATAAAATAACTCGTGATCAGAAATGTCTCGTCTATAAAAAGAATGAATTAGTCATCACATACTCCCGTATATGTTTTTGTTCAAATTCATAATAAAGAAGTCGCAAAAGAAGATTTTATTGCTGATGCTACTGGCATACCAGAGCGATGAAAATGAACGCATTGCCAACGTGCATCCTTTTTGTGCCATACACGAGTTTCCTCTGTGCGAACACTTTGTGGTTGACCATTTCTGAAAAGCAAAATAATTACTTAGTGCATAACTTAATCCCATCGTCGTACATACCGATCCATATATTGAAGAAGTAAAATATAAGCTATACAAGCTGCTTCATCTCCCAATGTGTGCACAACTGGTGTTAGCATGGTACAATTGATTGTGGGTTTACTTGCTTTTGCAGATAAGACTAGAACAAAACGAGATGATGTTAGTTGATTACTGTAGAAATGAATTCAACGGTAAAAACAACGGGTCACATCACCACAAAGAACATTCTATTACCTGTATCGGAACGAGCGAATCGTCCTGAAATTGAATTTAGGGATATAGATTATCACAGAAAGAAAACTACAATCAAGCTTTTCTACTGATACTGCTAACACGAAATGTGACTTCCTTTCGTTCTCTTTTTTGCTACATACCTGTGTCAAAGTAAAATTTATGAAAGTCAAGACCTTCAACCAAATTTCCTATCGTTTCAGGTTCAAAACAAGTAATCTTCGGATCGCATAGTGATCTAAAACAGAATGTCATCTTTGAATAAAACTCCACCGAGTTGACAATTAACTTACTTATACATATCGAAATCACTGTTAGCAATAGCTTGTAATAATTGTTCGGTTACTTTCGTGATTTCCAAGGCTAAAATGATTAAAAAAGAAAATTTGAGTTTCAAGACTTTATTCTAAAGATAACATGAACAATCAGAAAAAAATTAGTTTCTTTAAACCCAGTGTTATAAATATCAAGTTAACAAGTGATCAAATGCGTGTGATAAGAATAGAATAGCATCTCAATTTGATTTCATATGTGCTTACTTAGATTTCCTACTTTAGTTACAGGTGATGTTGTCTTTTTAGCAACTAAGAATTGATTGATTTATTTTGATTAAACATGACAAAATATACACGAAATATCCATTGATGTATCACTTACTTAATCGTTCAGTTCGTTCAATATCGTTGGCATCGTCAATCGTGACGCTGTTACTATCTCCCGATTCTTTGATTCCACTATTACCACTCTGTGTTGTTGGACGTGACCGAGTACCTAAAAAGAAATTTTCGGCATATAGATGAAGAAATAGATGAAGCAAGTTTGTTTGGTTAAATCACGCTTATCATTTGATTTAAGCAAGAAAGGTGAGCGTTTGCAAGCACATTGATACATAGAGAGAGAGAGAGAATTTTCAGAATATAATAGAAGAAAAACAAGAGTTGAGAACAGTGTTTGAACCTTCGACCTACGTTTACAACAAAATCGAGCAAGTGCGAAGAAGAAATACATTCAAATAGGTACGAAATCGATACATATATATATATACGCGCGTACCTCCACTAATAGAAGCTGAGATAATCGGACTTGAGAGTGGTGATATGACACCAGTTGAAGGTAGTGGCTTTTTCCCATTAGTAGGGGATTGTGTTCCGCTATTTCCGGTTGAAAACACTCCGGCATCTAAAAATCGATCCATTCATTTCCAACAACATGTAAGGTAATTTTCATCCGTATATAACGCATGCCATTTATTTGTTGTCGCACAAAACGATTACGCGCACACATATCGAAGTCACAAGGTTTTCAAGGGACAAGAAAATGAGAATATTCAACAACGAGCAAGATTAATCAAAATACATACACATGTATATAATTACACAAAAAAAAGATTATATAGAGGGTCAACAATCAAGATGTGTATCATGCAGGATGGGTTCAAAACATAAAACGACATATATATGTTATTTCCTTAACTATGAAAAAGAAGAAGAAGAAGAAGAAGAAGCTCTTTGTCTCGTCTGGAAATAGATATGATTTTAGGAACGAAGAAAACTGTCAATTTTAGAGGGTTCGATAATATCATGATGTATTCTTTGTAGAGAGTTTTTTAATTTGGACTCGCATCTGCTTCTAAATAAAGTACAGAGAAATTTAACAAGAGAGAAAATGCAAATAACACATCGATTCGAACATAACGATTGAATGATGAAGAAGTTTACGTTGAGAAATTCAACATGATGTGTATAAATCGAGAAGAAAAAGTAGCAAGATGAATTTGGAGAAAATATGAACATAAAATTAGACGACAACGACGACGACGACACGAAAAGCGATGAAGAATCTGTGGTATACAGGTTAGCCGTGCAAGAAAGAAATGGAATAAGGAGACTGATGAAACTTACTTGGAATCAATGTACGATTAACAAACATTGTCGATAGAATTGCTCCCTGAAAAGCAGTAAAATTCCCATGATTAGTGTCATTATTGGATCGGCATTCGGATGAAAAATTCATCGTTTTTGCTTACGATCATGCATATGAGGCAAAATATAGCGAGAAACATGCGATAATATTCAAAGAAAAACAGGTCAATGAATGATTGTATGTCACAGTTTTTGATTTTTAACATGTTTTTTTTTCTCATTTAGCATGTGTTAGGTAATTGAAGGAAGGTTATTTACCTTTAATTTTCGTCGTGCATTGAATTTACGTAAACAATCGACAGTCTCTTGTCGATGGATTGTACCAGCAACACGTTCCCGTTGCTAAAATGAGATATAAAAAGAGAGTTTTTTGCTTGATTAGATGCTTTTCTATTGTTTCTCTCGTTGGTTTTAATCGAATCAAGTGTAGAATGCTTGAATCTTCGTCTTCTTTCTTTTTGTCCTTTCTATCGATAATGACTCTGATTTATTTTCCTTGTTTGTCTTCTTTCTACAGCAGAAAAAGAAAAGAGGAGGGGGCGAAGGAAAAGGAGAAACTCAGAAGAGAGACAGAGGAAAAAAGGGGAAAAAAGGGGAAACGAGACGCACCAATGCATTCTATTTTAAATGCATCGGGCCTATTTTAGCTGATGTCAAATAATCGTTTCGTCGAACATCCTCACATCATTAACGTTATGTTCTCTTTCTCCCTCTCTCTTTCTCTTTTTCTTTATTTCCTTACTAATTCTCATTCATTGAGCAAATAAGTATCGGTAAATAAGCCATAAATGTATCTTTACTCGAGGAAATCAAACAAATTTCAATTCTATTCATTTCTCTTTTCCTTTTCAAATAACTTACACAAATCCACGGGTGTTTCAACGCATCTGTCGCACTTATTCGACGGCTCGGGTTGATATTCAACATCGAATCGATCAAACGTTTTGCTTCAGTTGTCACCGTATCCCATTCAGGCGACGGATACTAAATATAGGAATGTATTTAGTTATAATTAACGCGCACTGTTTTACATCATAGGCGCCGGCTTTGATTTGATTGTATAGACGATGTTGATCTTCGTCCCAAAAGGGTGGATAACCCACGAGAAGAATGTATAGGATAACACCTAAGAACGAGTTTTCAATACGAGAACATTCACTTTTGTTTTCTCAGACAACAAAATACGTACCACACGCCCAGATATCGACGGGTTTGCCATATGGTTCTTTTTTGAGGACTTCAGGACTGAGGTAACCAGGAGTGCCAGCAAAACCTATCGATGAATTTCGTCGAATAAGTATCTATTGAGTAAATCTTTTTTTTCGCAAAATACATACCGTACCACTGTGTTTGATCTCCATTAACTTCAATTGCTAGACCAAAGTCAGCAAGTTCTAGAAGAAAAAGTACAAGATCGAATTACATTTGAAAGAAAAATGATAAATGGCTGTACTCATTTCCTATGACGGAAATAATCTACATCATTTTCCTCTCGATCAAATGAGTAGAGAGCTACTAATGACCTTCAAAAATGTTCAGCTGAAGTCGTCCTCTTCAATGATTACTTACTGACAGCTGCTCCTTTTGTTTTACTGGCGAGCAAAAGATTTTCAGGCTAGAGAGAATAAGAGAAGAACACAGAAATTCAACAATCAATATTTATCAAGCAACTTACTTTTAAATCTCTATGTACAATGTTACTCTCATGGCAATGACGAACAGCTTCAAGTATTTGCTGTATACAATGACTAAAATAATACACGATAAGAGTAAAACAAGATATTCGAAAGTTTGAATACCTAGCATCTGCTTCACTGTAGAATTCTCGGGCGACAATGTCTTCGAATAATTCACCACCGGTGACTCTGAAAAAAAAATAGTACATCAGATTGTTTGTCTTTCTGTCGAGTACATTGGAATAGAAATTGCAAAACTTACAAGTCAAATACTAAATAATGAAAACCTTCTTCGGAGATGCTATCATGCAGACGAACTAAATAAACAGTTGATAAGAAATATTTATTGATTTCAACGAAGAAAACCTTACCAATATTGGGATGTTTTAATTGTCGACAAATACGTGCTTCTCTTTCGAGTTTTTGATGATCTACATACATAAACAAAGGTCAATTCGTAAGGTCTGACTGTTTTTCTAACCTCGGGTGGATAATTTTTTGGTATTAATGATTTTAGCAGCAAATTCTTGTGCGGAGCTTTTCTGTATACATCGTCTGACAATTGAAAATGCGCCTCTGAAAATACAAAGAATAAATATATTTACATAGCCATTCTTAATAGCATAGAATTGATTATAATCCATTATTAATGAATTTTGTTTTGTTCTACACACGCTTCTCTTTCATTCGGAACAAGTTTTCTTCGTTTTTTTTTCTCTTCTTTGACATTTTTCCTTGCCATAGGCGAAGAACACCAACGCATTTTTTTTTGTTCTTGTTAACACTCCTGCATGGATGAACAGTTAGTCAACAACAAAAAAATGTGTATTCAAACAATTGACTGAAGCTGCTCTACCAAGCCAACTGCCGGCTTGATGATAATGACTTTTTTTCCTTCCTGATCTTGTCGTTGCCTCAATTATGATAATATACGTTTGGTCTTAGACTTGAACGACAACATATAACAGTGATCTGCTTTTCGCATCCTTGTCAGTGACTAGTGTTAGTAGTAAAAGATGAGGTCAGAATACGAATGAGAAAGGGAAGGGAAAAATGAGAATGATGATGATGACGAAGACGACGACGATGAAGATGATGATGATGAAGAGAACGGGAGAAAAATAATATCCGCGACATGCAAACGCGATTAATCAGGAGAGAGAGAGAGAGAGAGAGAGAGAGAGAGAGAGACGGAGACAGGGTAGCGGTATTCTATGAAGGTTCACCAATGTAGCAACTTCGATGACAAAATGTTTGATTGCAATTTAGAACTGGACTCACGAGAGAAGATAGTCAACAATTGTTTTTTATGTTGATTCACGATATGAATCAAATGCATGGGAAATTAGAAGGGGAAAATGGGAAGGGAATAATAAAATAGAACAACATGTCTATAGTTACTTACTTGCCAAGTTCTTCTTTAAGATCATATTCATCAGTGAAACGAGTGGATGTCACAATCGAATTCGATATTGGTGTGTTATTTGTTACAGCAGCCATATTGTTCATGGAAGTTGTTGTAGGAGGCGACACCTTTATGTTCTGATTATCTTTCTTAGTAGTATTACTATTGTTGTTGTTGTTGTTGTTGTTGTCGGTACTGGTCGTGTTATTATTGTTAATAGTATTGAGAATTTTGTTGAATAGAGTATTGTTATATTTCATACAGACAAGACAAGAAAAGTTGGTTTTGTTCGATAATATGAAACTGAATAAATAGATGGAGGTGGACGTTGGGTCATCAACATTTTTAAATAGAAAACTTCTAGATCAACATGCGTATGTTAGTGATATATGTTGCATAAACGCGACAAAACGACCAAGATTCTTGTCGTTGTTTGTCGCAATAGTAGAAGCGGCAGCAGTAGCAGCTATAGAAGAAGCTTATTTCTGGTCGACGACACACGCAGAAGCAGAGTCCCGATGTCGATTCAGGTGGAGAGAAGGAGAGAGAGAGCGAAGACAGACAGACCGAGCGAAGAAAAGACGAAGAAGAGGAAGAAGATGGAGAGAAAGTCGAGAATGACGAAGACGACGCCGATGTCGATGAAGAAGAAGAAGAAGAAGAAACAGCAGTTGTAGAAAAATAGTAGTAGGCAAAGAACAGAGTGAGCAACTAAATGCAAGATGATTCTCAGCCAGTCAGAGATAGGAAGGAAAAGAAAGAGTGGAATGGCCGCTAGGGATACACACGAATGCACAGTCACGAGTTGAAATAATCATTTTAGAACATAAGCTGATGAATTCTTCGAAAAATGAAAATCAAATCTGCATGCCGTTTCTTTCTCCCAGCTAAACTGTTGGACTCTTTCGTTATTGACACGTTGTATTTCGAATCAAGAAAGACAGATTCATTTCTATTGGTTTACTTTCCGAAGCCAATAGAAAACTTCCAGTCATTAGTAGGAAAAAAAGAAATGGAATAAGTATTTCTCCTAACATCTTTCTTCTTCTTCTTTTTCTTCTTCTTGTTTTGTGTCAAATATGATAATGTGATTGAAATTCTTTCGAATAATCATCTCGATGCCAAGCAATTTCAATGTTGCACGATTAATAATTTTGAAAAAAAGCAGAAAGAGAACGTTGTAAACTCGCTCGTCTTTTGCTATTCATAATCCTCGGAGAGTTTCCTATCATTATTGCCAAAAGAAAATTCAGATCTGCTGATCTAAAATTGATGATTTCAATAGGGAAATATTCCATATGCGATAATATAATTGTCGATTTGATGTATTTTAGACAACATCACTCAGCCTGATTAAAGTTCCTGTAAGGATGAAAACAAAGAGTAGAATTCTCCTCTTCTGTCATTTATTCACTTCGGGATGAGAAACTAAACATCGATGAGTCTCTTAGATTAATATCGTACGACAGGTTGTCGTGTGATAAACCCATGCGTATCACTTGAATACATCGGTTGACCGGCAGGAACATAGACAACGCGTTCACTAAACAAAGGATCTCATAGATAAAGACAGAAGTCGATGAATTAGTCTTACCGAGGTGGACGACAACATGGTAAACAGCAGCAGAGTAAATCAAGCGGAAGACAACATAGGCAAATGTCAATGGAATCGGAACATGGACAAATATCCAACTAAAACAGAGAAGAAAATATTAAATATTCTCTCGATGAAATCTTTCTGATTAAGTAGAATCCCAATAGAATTGCTGATTAGTAATTGCATTTTCAAATTTCAAATAGAGGAAATCATATAAATTCAATCATAGTTAATACTTATTTACAATTTTTCAAGATGTCGAGGCATTTATTATTATCTCATTTTTTACATCAGTTCAAACTAAGATTTCTTTTTCTTCTCTCTTGACAGAAATAACTTTTCTTGCAAAAAAAAATATGAATTCCATTAAAGAAAGGATATAATTTCAAGCCAATTAGTTCGTGAGCAATTCATCTACGTACTAAACACATGATGAATACTTGTGCGTAATTGCTGTGTATTGAAGTGCAAGAAATGGCGAGTAAGACGAGGTATACATGAAGACGTCATTGTTCGAGACCGATTTGACGAAAAATATCCTTTTCGATTGTGTGCGTCAGGTAAATTTCATTTATCTCATTCATAAGAATAATAAACATGTATTTTTTCCTTTCATCAAACCATAACCAAGGAACAGGAGAGAAGGGAAAAAAAGCGAATGACAGTATATATTATTATTTATAGACATACATGAAAAAAAAAGAGAAAGAAAACAGAGATAAAGAGATCTTTATTTTGAACGATATCATTGATTAATTTAGTAAGCGAAGACAATAACAGCGAATGCATATGACACACTGTTCGTTGAAAGAAAAGAAAATAGTGAACACACACACACACACAGAAGGAAATAAAAAATAGAGTCTGATGTCATTGTCAAGACAAATTCAAGCGACGATGTCAAGGACGGTTCGATCAGCAAACAATAAACACGACGAAAACTAAAGAGAAATTCGCTTTTTGACTAGGAGATCGAACATTCGAGAATATAGCAATCAAGTAAACAGATTGAATCGTTCTAAAATAAAGACAATTAATCGATCTGTCAGATTTGATCAATTTAGATATTACTTTTCGATCGAAATGTATTCGACGACGTCAATGGCGCAGGTATTTTCAGCGTATGGGTCATTGTTGCTGTTGTTAGTTTACTGCCTAAACTCGAGAGATCTGGTGGAGGTGGTAAAGGCTGTCCGGTGATCGATTGTTGTTCACTTTTTGTCGTTGACAATGAACGAGAATATAAACTCGACAATGAACGATTATCGTCGAGATTGGATGATGAAGATGAATGTGAAGCTGCTGGTAGAGCACTGTGATGTTCGAATACGGGCGATGTGGACGATAAGTTACTTAATGTATTCGATGCTGATGAGACAGGCGAATGATTTGATGAATTGATTTCATTTGTTGATGTTTGTTGACGTATGGATTTCGACATGAAATGAGTTGGATTACAATTATTTCGAAGAAGTCTGAAAAAGCAAAGCTAGAAAGGCGTTTTGTAAAGAAAACGAGGAATTCACTTCAATGGAGATAATTCTGTTTGCGTTTTTAGATCAATACTAATATCATTATCAGTTGATGTTGATGAATAATGCGAATGTCGGTCAGATTTTTGTTGATTAGATGATGATGATGTATTTGATTGTGTATGATTACTAGCTGAACTTGTTGATATACTCGTCGATGATGATGAAGATGATGAGCCAAATAATGCTATAGGTGCATGCGGCTGAGTAGGTGATTGTTTTGTATGATGGACAATATCATTTGATGGTTCATGATTATTTGACGATAAATCATCGTTGCTTGTTGAATGTGAATCTTGTTCGTGTATTAATGATGAACTGTCTGTATGACCATTTACTAATAAATTGTAAGCATGTTTTGCTTCTTTACTTATATCACCTATATGGAATGAATTAGAACGAGAAGACGAGAGATGAAATGTACAAACCATTTTGTAGACGTTGTTCGAGTTCACGTGTGAACCGACAAGTTTCTTCATTCGATTTTTTTAATGGAGATTTGGATGGTAGACGAGTATGAACAGGTGATCGACTGTTCGAATCTACTTTTAACGAACGATCGCATTCAATTGAATTCATTTTTTTCAAAATACCTGTCACGATTTCCAATGGAGATTGATTAAAGTCGATTTTTGTCGAAGACACTGCTGATAATTTCAACTAAACAAACCAAAGGTTGTCATATATTTGCGAACTAATTCCATTACACTTCGTATATCTTTCATCATCAGTCTAAATCTGTTTACTACACAATTATTAATCTCATATGTGTGATCGTCAAGCACACATGTGGAATGGTTATTGATACTAATATGTTTTACGATAGATTTGTCAGATTCAATCAAGCACAAATTGACACAACACCTCCGCGTCTTTCCGTTTTTACATTCGATTTCAAGAATGAACTAATCGTTCATTTGTTAGTGTTACGCCATTTTTTCTCCATATATACTTGTTGAGAGGGCCAAGAACAATATTCTACTCGAGAGCATAAACTTACGAAAACATATTGACCTTGTTTTATAACTAAATTAAACTTTGTTCCTCTTAGAATAATAATAAGAAAGTTCAACAAGGAGAGAAAGAGTCAAAATTTCTCCTGAAACTCGTACGTTGTAGAGCGTGTTGCACAAAGTTAGAAATCATTACTTACATCAATCGTCGGAGATTTTGGAGAGGTTGGTTCACTTCGTTCAGGTTTTGGTGGTGGTTTTATTGAAGTATGATCTACTGTTAAACGTGGAGTGGTGTCAGGTTCAGAATAAATTTCTGTAAACGCTTGTAATACTTCATCTAGTAATGATGAAGGTGCGATTTCCTCCTAAAATAAAAAAAAATCATTGGTATAAAACCAGACGATCTATAATTGACTCACCGTTCGCTGTTCAACAGAAAGTATCGCTACTTCTTCTTCTTCTTCTTTCTGTTCAGGAGTAAGAATAGGCTGTTTATAATTTGATTCAAATTCTTTTCAATGAAATAGAAAGAAACAAGAGGACAAGTCAAGTATGCAACCTATGCCGATATTTGAACAATTACCATTAACAGTCGATGGACTTCTTTCAATAGGTATCTTAATTAAATCGGTTTTCTCTACGCCAGCAAGACAAGTCACATCACCAAATGTTTCACCTATAGAAATATTTCATTCGAAGTCTTCACAATCACTTTCTTTTTCAAAATACCTGATACTCCAATATGAAATGCATGAATGAAATCAGCTTGAGGCAGACCAATCATATCCTTTGATAATTGTTTGCCTTTTGTTTTTCCAACATTCTTTTTCGTGTCTACAAACAAATGCACACATAACAATAGCGAATCAGTGATTGCAGTAATTAACCTGTTTTGCGATGAAATAAATTACTCATTGTGAATGACGTTGAATTAGGATAATTAGGTGTCGAAATCAGTGGTTTTGATATTGAAATAACATGTAATGGTTCAACATCACTATTATTAACGAAACCGACTTGACCGTCTGCAGATACACACTGAAGAAAATTATTGACCGATGACGATGATATGGGAACGTTAAGACTAGAACAGATGGAAGAATGGAGAACGAGAGAAGAAGAAGAAGAAAAAAGATGTTGTCTAAATGAACGAAACGAAAAAAAAATGAAGAGAACGAATGGAAGAGAAGAATACATGTACGTGTAGATGAAGCAGGAGCAATGTTCATTAGTAATTGAGAAATTGAATCTTTTCTTTGCCAATTTTTTTTCTCTCACGATTATCAACATGGCGACTCAAGGTTGCAAAAACGATCGATTGATCGAGCAATCAATGAAAGTGTGTAACAGGTAGCGCGTCGCATCATAAAACAAATGACCCCGGCCTGTTTGCATGCATACACACACCAGAAAGAAATAAAGAGCGTGTTTATGTAACGATGAATTCCGAGCACGAGTGTGTGTGTGTGTATATATATATACTACCGTTGCTTTGCCTTTCAACCATTTCTCTCATTTTTCTTCTTCTTCTTTTTCTTCTTTTCTTTATCGTATGTATTAAGCTGTCGAAATTTGATGCACACACATACCAGCGATCGAGAATTGTCAATGGTCCAAGCAGACAGGATTCTACGGAAAGAAAACCGTCAGGTAAATTGGTCGGTTTGCCATTTGTATCTTTCCATCGAACTTTTTTGATTTCAATCTAGAATAAAACATTAGTTCAGAAGGAGACATGGCAAACAAATCATTATTTCTATACTTCGCGTAGAGTTTTTTCTAATTGTGCAAATGTAGGTCGTTCAGAGGGTTCATGCTTCCAACAATGAAGCATTATTTGATATAACTCTGTTGTAGCGTAAGAAGGACGCGGTAATCGTTGATAATTGGGTGCGTCGATAGCGTTGACAATCTAATCAATTGAAAAGAAGATATGTTGTCTTTTATCTCTTTATTTCTGGTTTAGAACAATCCTCAAGAGAGATCGAAATTGTTCCACAGAATAGGTTTACGTTTTCTTCTAAACGTATTGTCAAACAAAGGATTTGTTGATCAATGATTTATTTAAATGTCAAAAAATCATCTACGTGATATGTCATATTCTTCGTAGTGATTGATACCCTTTAAAATAATACAAAAGAACTAACCAATCTTCCCCTTGTCTTATGATTAACTAAATCGAATACAAAAGAAAAGAAATATTTACTTCGGCACTTGTCATTCCTTGCCATGGCATTTCACCGTAGCTAAAGCATTCCCACATACATACGCCAAAAGAAAATATATCCGATGCACTTGTGAATCGTAGAAAATTAATTGCTTCTGGACTCATCCATGCTATCGGCAATCGTAACGTATCCTTCCATGATGTTTTGTAATAATCGGTTTCTGAACAACACAGACGCGAAAGACCGAAATCGGAAAGTTTAACCTGAAACAAAACTGGGATAAGAACGGATCGAATTGTTTTGAAAACTTTACCAATGTTTTACTGAAGACCAAGATGTTTCGACTGGCTAAATCTCGATGAATGAGAAATTTCTTTTCTAAATAATTCATCGCCGTGGAGATTTGTCGAAGAAATTCCAATAGAATTTCGATTGTGTATTCACACTTTGCATTTTTTAATAATAAACATTCATACAACGATCGTGAATGAGCGTATTCAGTTACCTAAACGTAATCTTATCTAGATGTTTATTTTACAAAATATCAATTTGTGACTTACCAACATAAATAACCCATCTGCTTGGATAACAATGCCAAAGAATTGAACGATATGTGCGTGTTCGGTATCTTGTAGGACACAGATTTCTTTGAGTAGGTCATCAAGACCAAATGCTTGTTCAAATTTATGTAAACGTTTCACAGCGACGGTTAACTAAAGAAAATATTGCTTTTCTTTAGCAGAAAAGTTTATTTGATTGTGCTTACTAATTCATTCTGTTTGCTTTTCCAAAATGCTTTGAAAACTATAAAGAAAAATGAATGTTAAAGATCGGAAGCCAAGTTAGATGAAATTCTTATTACCAGTGCCGAATTCTCCTTCACCAATTTGTTCAATTAATTGAATATTCTGTTGAGAAATAATATTTTTCTGTTGCTGATTTTTCCCCATCGATGTTTGTTGATTCAATGGTGTTATTGAAGAACCCTGTTGTTCATGATAACTGTTCAATTCATGCGTGCTTCGAGAGAGATTGGATGTCGACGAACGAAATGTTAGTTTCTAATAAATAGACACGTATCAAAGAGAGATTGATCTTAATGTGTTGATATAGAATTAGAAACAATGATGTTGAACTTTAGGTAAACGTAGATATAACCACCTGTTTTCCATTGCATCTGACCGCTACTACTGCTGTTGCCTAAGATAATCGAAGAGAAATTCTGCTTTTTCTTCTTCTTCTTTTTCTCTCTCTCGAGAGTGAGTTCCGAACGGTCGTTGAAGAAGTAATGCGATGCTGGTCAGAGAAGAGGACAAGAAGAACAAGATAACGACATGAACGAGGAAAGAAAAGCAGTAGCAAAAGAAAGGAAAAAATGATTGTAACTGAACATATATCAGTTTACCGACGAGCATCAATTAGTCGACACTTTTAACATTTAAGTTTGTCACTAACACTTACTCGTACTAGAAGTTTGCTCAATGTACTTGTTATCATTGAATTGCTATTTGAAGTTGAATTCGACGCTGGTGGCAAATGTCGTTTCATTTTTCGAAATTGTGGTTTAGACATGCCCAACGAGAGAAGATCGGCTTCATTGACATACCGCAAGTCAGCTATACTATACACCTGCAGAATGAAAATGAAAACAAAACACCAATTATACTTAAGGAACAAATACGCAGACAGACAGAAAGCAAGAGAGCTTGTTTGCATTTCACTGAACTATTCATCATGAAGAATACTAATAAATGTTCGTGTATCGTGTGCTTGCGCAATTTTGCGGTCAGTTCTCGTTACATCATACAGCTGGAGCATGAACGCGTGTGTATGTTTGCGACAGCGAGTCTTCTTTCTAGTCAAACTGGCTTCGTAGAAGTATGCAGAGAAATAAGACATCCACAAGCATGAATTCAAATAGAAAAGTAATCGAACTTAAACTCAATTTTCAAGATTATCAAGGTCAACAGAGAGATAAATATGTCTATTAAATATAAATGACAGGGGAAGTCTGCAATTGAGGTTTTATCCATTAATAATCGATCTCATGTGAATGGAGGACATGTGCGAAATGAATTATCGTCTTCTTGAAGTAAATTCCTACTATAAACATCGTGCTATATGTAGAGCTTCTAATTGAGCACAAGAGAGAAAGAGAAAGTAGATTAGTCTGTCGATGATTTCTCACCATAACTTGAAAGAAGTCGAATGCAAAAAAAATAGACTGTTGATTTGAGCGAAGTTTGTTTGTATTCAATTACCTTTCGCATGGAATGTATATGGTTTGTCTCATCTTTATTTTTGATCCACTTCGACATCGTCGTCGAGAAAGTCTGTGCCTCAGAGTTCTTTCGATTTCATTGAAATACTTCTTTTTTTTTGTTGATCGAAAAAAATGAAAAGAACTGCTATTGATTGATTTTAATCGTCCGTCATTTTCTCCATTCATTTCGTTTTTTTCTTCCATTTCTCCCTTTTCTATCTCTTACCTTGAGCTTTTCGACAATCAATGTGTAATATTCGTTGAGTTCTATTTGCTCAAGGAATTGATGTAGGTGAAAAAGCTGATGATCATGCTTAATCACCGTTTCTTTTGTGCCAGTCATTAACATCTAGAGAGACAGAAAAAGAAGACGAACAGTTTGTATGTAAACAAGAATCACTGAGTAGCTGAACCAATGCTGTCAAGACATAAAGTGATATGCAGACACATTGCCAGTTCATCGTACGCAGAAGAAAGAAGGACGCAAGTCAAAGGAAATTGTTGACCCCGACAGTGCTCCCGCACGAAGAAGAAGAAGAAGAAGTAGTAGTAGTAGTAGATATATGTGTATGTGTGTGCGTGCTCATCATCGTACAGGGCCAAATTGACTTTACTGGTGTTGATTACTCTATACATCATCCCACACACGTATTCTAAGACCTTAGATCGACGACATGACGCGTCAAATACAAAAGAAAAAGAAACATCATGTCGCGACGTATCAGCAATTCAGAGAAGGAGCATATGATTTGTATTTAATCTTCGTACAAGCTCGAAATCTGAACAATGAGTGAGGAGAAAAGATCAACAGTAGATTTTGCTATGAGTTCAGCAACTCGTATCATTCAACGAACCGTGTAATGTTTAAAAATTGAACCAACAAATGATGATATGTTATGCTTATAGCTACGTAGACAGAACGAGACATAAACAATAATATCACTACATATGTATTCACATTCGTAGACACACTTAAGGGTCTAATCGAAACTATCGTTCATATTTATAAGCATAACAATATGCATAAATGCTCTATAATTATTACATGACGACAAGTGAAAACATCAATCGTTATCACCTTCACTCGAATGATAAAACTCGAATTCGAAGGTCACCACTGATAGTAAAGATGACAATATGTCGATAGCAGCTGTCGTTAAGCGTACCATATGATTCTCTTTTTTTGACATTTTATCCTAGAGAAGACGAACATCTTTGAGTACATCAAATCATTTGTTCGTGATAAGAACTCTTGAACTAACGAGTGAATGATTCAATATGATTGAAAGCTGTTTTGCCCGAAGAGAAAAGAAATCATGTGGTTATTTCTTTTTCTTTCAAAGTTCAAGATCCAAATCATTTTTTGTTTTGTCTCCATTAATATCTAACGTGGAGACCTATAAATCAATTTGATTGAATGAAGAGGAAAGAGATGACATCGACAACACACATGCTCGATGTGACAAACCTTTCTTTGATATCAACCTTAAAATTGCACGTCGAAATGATTGACATAAGGAATGTTTATGATGATGCTTAAGTTCAAATGTTCTCTTCATCTTTACAAGTACACAAAGAACACCGTCATCAGCACGTAGAAGAATTTAATGAAACTGTCGATTGATGTTTAATACATAGTAGTTCTCCAACATGAGAGCATCTGATCTTCCGCAGAAGAAAAAAAGGTTGACCATCATGCAACGTTGAAGCGTGCATGTTCATGTACAATTATACTCTATTTCCGATTTAATTGTACTAAATATTAACTTCGAGATTGATGACATGTCTAATGTGATCGACAATGTCGTTCTCAATTTCATCTAGAAATAGAAAGGTCTCCGTTCTTTTTCTTGAGTTGATTAATTATCTGAAATACTTTTTACAATTGTTCACGTCAGCTGCTAATCAATGTATCATACCTATAAGGTCAAGTGTTATCGACTACGTCAACATGCAGACAAGTTATTAAGAGCAATCATTACTTGTTGAAATTTCCGGTACAATCAGATGAAGACAATAGACATATGTATTGAATCTTTAAACGTTATGAAAGAAATCAATTGATACAATAATTTATATCAGGTGTCATATGCGCATAAAAAATGGATTTTCCTAACGTCAGCAATTATACACGGACCCATGTTCAATGTAAAATCACATTGCTAACCGAACCCAAACTTTGTTCAAGCAGATACGTACATTCTCTTGAAATTCTTTCTTTCGTTTCTACTCAAAACAATGTTATTAAACGGAAAGAAACGATCTAAACACTTCGTTGAACTCGTTGAAAAATAGCAGAGACGACTAATTGAGATCAATAAATTTGACATAAACATGACTTCGTATGTACGAGCATCTGGTTAATCCAAATCATCGTGACAACTTGCAGACGTACGATAAAAGTGCAGAACGCCGTTTTCTTTTTTGAACCAGTTTGTTCGCTTTCTTATAGCGCCCTCTAACTGTTCGCTATTAAATGGACGGTCGAACCAGCAAATCCTTTTCTCAAATCAATCAGCTGTTGAATAATCTTCTCCTTCTTGCTCTTGTCTCGTCTAGCAGTTTCATCACTTTGTCATACTCTTGTTTTCGTCAATTCATAGCCATATTATGGATCAAATAATTTCTGGCATCATTAAAAGTGACCATCCACTTCTGAAGAAACAACAATTATTCGAGCTTATACGTCCAACCTACCTTCAAACTCCTTGCTCGACAACATTGGCAATAACTGATCGTCCTTGTTATTATCTCGTAAACTACGTTCGTCAATTGACATCTACAAAAGCAGATCTCGAAAGTTTACAGTTTTGTCGTGTTTGTTTGGAATGTTGTCATATTTCCGACTGTCTTTGCTCAATTGCTGAACATTTAATCACTGATTCACAAATTGATCTGTCGATTTCATTTGTTCAATTGTTAAGTGATCGTCTACCAATCGAAATCGGTCGACCCTTCTTAGAACGAGCTATTTTCGAGAGGCATGAGTTAAATAATGAAGCATTACATTTTATTCTCTTATCAATAACAAAAAATCGTCAATTAACCGACGGACAACGAACGATATTCTACATTAAACTAGTAGAACTCGTTCTCTTTCGTTTGCGCACATTGGATCATTCTATCGAGCAAGTTGAAGCATTTTGTAAACAATTATCATCAACTATTGAAAGATTATGTTATGACAATAACAAACAATCTAGTCAGTTATTGAATGATATCGTTAATGGTGTTACAAGTGGTTTATTGACATGTCTAGCGGATTCAACGGTTACAACTGAGCCTTCAACTGCATTGGCGAACATTATTGATCTATTACAAGAATGTCCAAATGAAAATCTGCTTGATTCGTTTATTTTAGTACGGAAACGCTTTTAAATTTCTTATAAATATTTCGATCTATTGTTTTTTCTATTCAGACAATCGATGACGATCGATTGGTTCTTTGTCTCAACCGTTTAGCACGAGTGTTTCGATGGCCATGTTTAACAACTAAACCATCGCAATGGCTTGTTTCGATTTGGAAACTGTTATTCAAACGTGAACGAGAAATGTTAGTAGCACAATCAGCATCATCATCTATTATTTCCGATGTAAGTTCGAAAATTTCAACTCAATCGTCATTTCTATCAACTTCTCTTCGTAGCTGATATCAATGCTGGGTAATCCTTCATCGTATCAGAACGTCATACCAGCCTTATGCTGGATATTCGTTAATCAGCCATTTCATTTACAAACAGTAAGCAAATTCCTAGTTTTCACTGATTTTACTTCTACAATCTCTTTTATCTTAGTTTGCCAGTACTTTACAAAATGAAATTCTTCAGTTGGTTATCAACAATCCAAATTTTCTGATCGATAACGTTGAAATGAACAATCTTGTTGAAAGTGTACGATACGGCTTGAAAAGTTTATTAAATAATGAAGATAATCTTTTGAACAACGAACTACTAAACAATCTCCTCCAAGTAAAGCAAATGTTTCTGTTGATTTCTCATTGTAATAACCATTTTCCTTTGCAGAGTCTTCCGAAATTGAATCCTGTTTATGCAAAGAATGTTCAACTAATGAAATGCAAATCGTCTTCAATCGAAAACTATTCTAATGAAATGACAATTCGTCTACATGATAAAGTTGGATTGATTAACATTGGCAATACTTGTTATTTGAATGCAATCATGCAAGCATTATATGCTTGTACAAAGTACGATCTTTCTCGAAATCACAATTTGTGTTTTATTCTAACGGTTTTCTATTTCTAGATTTCGACAATGTGTTCTTAGTTGTGATATTCTATCATCGAACAACGAACTATTGAAATCTTTACAAAGTTTATTTGGCTTTCTCACACTTTCTCAAGTACGGAACACGAAATGAGCTTTGATGATTAAGAATGTGAGCTTTTCTAGAGATCACATTACCGACCGGAACGGTTTTGGCTTCAAGCCAAACCATCATATTTCGAACGTAATCAACAACAAGATTGCCAAGAATTTCTTCGACATCTCTTGGATACACTGCATGAAGAAGCAAAACGAACGACACAGAATGAGTACGTAATCATTTATTCGTACAAAACAAGTGTTACTTAACATTGATATTGATGCATATGTTTTGTCTTTAGCTCAAATCTCGATCTGGTTAAACAGCATCTTATGGGCACATGTGTACATGTTAGTAAATGTTCAAATTGTTTAACAATGACGAAATCGGAAGATCTTTTCTACGACTTATCGATTGGTTTCAATGAACAATCATTAATAAAGAATGACCAAGAGAAAAAATTCGATTTACAAGCACTTATTGATCATTCATTCGCATGGGAACCTCTTATCAACGAAAATCAATTAGCATGTGATAAATGTGAAAAAAAGGAGGATGGTTCACGTCGAATGTTTTTAACTTCACATCCGAATTATCTTGTTTTATTGTTGAAACGCTTTGTACATAATCGTTTGACAGGTAAATATGAGAAATGTCTCGATCACACGACATTACCGGAATTTATTCAATTACTAACTATTAATGAAACGTCGGTAACCTATCGCTTGAAAGCAATAGTTGTTCATCATGGTTTATCGATGAATAGTGGGCATTACTATGCATTTGTTATGTTTAATAATGACGATTTTATGGATAAAAATAACACAAATAATCATCTGGGATGGTGGCTATTCAATGATACACATGTGGAACATTTATCATACGAAAGTGTTTGTGCACATTTTCAACGTTTTCCATCCGCCACTCCTTACGTATTGATATTCGAAAAGCAAACTCTAGGTATAGTTTTTTCGTGCAAATGGATATAGATGATTGAATGAATAAATGAATACTTTTGTCTAGAAAACGAATCAGATACAGCACAACTACCGATTGTACCATATCTACAAACATTGGTCGACCGTGATAATCAACTTTACGTACAGGTAGGTTTAATTCTAAGAAAAGATCATATATAATTCCGTAATCTTCTAGGAGCAGAAACGTCGTGGTCGATCATCGAGATCAGGTGATATGTCGGATGTCAATGAACCTTATTTACGAAATACGGGATGTAAAGACCAAAGTCCAGATCGTGGACCACCATGTATTTTCTGAAAGCGATTTCTGCGTGGTTTTACTTCAGCTGTGTGGTTATTTTTGTGTGAACAGTTGTATAAATTTTTAACTTATTTCTCCTCATTTTTCCTATTAAACATGATGTACAGATAAACATGATGATATCATCCATACTAAGCATATGTTTTATCTTAAAACATATTCACTTGTACTTGGACCTGGCAATGATGAGCAGTAGTTTTTTGCTTTAAATATAAGTCACTTTAATCGCTCATTGCTGACGCGTCATAAAGAAACAAGCGCTTAATTTGGAGGAAGGCTTTTGGCTTATCACTGAGTACAATGTCTCACACGTCAGGATCTCTTTCAGCCACCAGGTATACGAACTTTGTCTGAAATGGTTTTATGAACACCGTCGGTCGTAATTTAGGATCTTTCAGTGTCATTTATTCAACAATTTTTGTATAGACTTTCATTTTGTGAAAAAATAAATTAGGTTTAACAATATTATAATAGTTGGTTGCATGAACGGATGGGAACTACTCGATCGAGGTGCACATCCTGGAGTTGTACTCGTTTCTGTGCTGGTACTTGTCGTTGTCTGCGTAGTTGATGTTGTCGTCTGTGTAGTTGTTGTTGTCGTCTGTGTAGCTGTTGTAGTTATAGTTAAGTCGACAGCGGTGGTCGTAGTTGTTGTTTGTACAATGCTTGTTGTAGTTGTAGTTAAGTCGACAGCGGTGGTCGTAGTTGTTGCTTGTACAATGCTTGTTGTAGTTGTTACTGGTGCGATTGTAGTTGTAGTTGTAGTTGTAGTTACAGTGACATCTGGACACTTCTCTCCAAGTAAATAATCACCTGAGGAACAGAAACAAATAAACCGTACTGACGGTTCCGAAATTGATAATTCTTCTGAACACAACGAATTTGCCCCGCAAATACCTTCTCTATCGCAGATACCTATTCACAGCAAACATGATTCAAAGTAAAACGAGAGAGAGAAAAACTATATGACAGACGGCAAGGTTTATTAATTGTATATTGTCCATCTGGGCAGGTGCACATGATTTGATTTTCGTGCTTTGCCCAATTGTATTTATTCTTAGATACAAAAAAATCTTTCAATTCACATACATCGTTTCCTATGAAATGAAACAATTGATATATCTGTTTCGAAAAGATTTTTCGTTACCATTAAGTTCTACTGGATTCGAGTTGATTGAATAAATAATGAAAAAAACGATTAAGATACTTCTGATCATGTCGTGAGCTTATTATCAGTTAGACAAAAAAGAGAGAAACATCGGTGAGTGATATTTATATAGTACTGGCAGATGTTTGGATTTCTCATCAAACAGTGAATCACATACGAACGTGTAATACTTCATTTGCGTGGTAGAAATTTGCTTCTTTTTTTCATTATTTTCAAAGGAAAAGAATACGGCCTTAGACGTGAAATAATCGCTGATATTGATAAAAATATTTCATTCACATTAACGAACAATCAGATTCATACAAACTCAATCCATTTCAACTGCCAATGTCTGTAGGGTCTTGTCTACAGTTGCTATTAAATCATCAACAGAACGTTGACATCTCCGATTTTGATATACCCGATTCTGCATCTTCTTGAAAATGCTTTATAGTTTATCAGACATCAACATTATCCTTCACTGCAATTTTATCTTTCGCTTTCCTTACGTCATGATTTCATATAAAATCTGTGCACACAATTCAGACATAAAACTTGTGTTTGTTCTTGCTATCTCTACGAAAATCAAAGATTGATACATAATTGCACGTAATTTCCGTATCACATCCATCGCTGTCCAAATGTTCATAGATACAACAGGCATTCACATTTAACTTCTTTTTCCCAACTTTTCGACGATCAATTAACTTTCATTCAACTCAACATGAGTTGTGCTTCGTTACATTATCTCTCTCTCTCCTTCTCGCTTCTCGACGTTGAAATGCTGTTATACGAAAGCTAGGAAAAAAGGTCAACTAACACCGCAGGACAGGAAATGAAATCGTATCCAAACAATGTCCTATATGTTCTACTTTACCTCCCTTATTTCCATCTGTTTCTCGTTTACAATCGAATGATGTATGATAAAACACATCCATCTAGCTGAGAACATTGTCATATCACCGTTCTAGTCGAAAACAAAATTCTATTTGAACAATATATGTTGAGATAATTCTCTGTCCAAAATCAGTGTCGTATTAACAGACGATTGTAGAGAAAAACAACAAAAGCTTTCACACATATGGGTGAATCAGAAGGGCTCTCGACTATATCATCAAAATCAACCTCGTAAAAACAAATTGCGTTTGATGATTACTCCGCAGTAAAATTGATAATTGCCTGTCAGATCAGATTCACATATGGACGCAATCAATANGCGCCTTGCTCACCTAATTCGTCGTTCCGACAAGCGCATAGGTGTGGATAAGCAAGAATGAGTGATGCACGAGCACTACGTAACTTCAAATAGGTTCGTAGCAGAAAAAGTTATTAACACTTGCGATTACGTCTCCTTCAAGAGAGATGAAGGGAGAGAAAGAGAGAGAGAGACGATATTACCACCTGATAAAAAGTCGTCATTTCCCTAAGATGCCTCATCGATAATGACAGTAAATTTTCACTTTGATTACGTGGATGTGTTGAAGAAAATTTCTCCTATTATATAATTTCAGAATGAATTCACTTGCTTCAGTTCTATATTCTTCGTCCTCGACAACGAAAAAACGGAGCAATCTCTCGCTACAACCCTCCTTAAAACCCGTGCCAACGATGGATTCGAAGTCGTCAACAAAATGTAAAGTCAGTGGCATGTTATTTCGTTCATCAACACCTAAAACATCTTTAACAACAGCAGGTAGGCATGCATAAATTGTCATTGAATATATAATTGATTATGAAACATTTCTTTTGATTGTCAGTCATTCGTTAGAATATATTAACTAAAGGATGAGTCGTCAATATCACAGTTTTGTGTTAAATGTAAATCAATAAAGAAATCAAAATCGCCGACAGGATATCCCCGGTTCAAGTGTATGCAATCACAGCATCACTTTACTAAATAACAATCGTCGCCTTCGATTGAGAAAGCTGAGAGAAGCATTTGATTGTCAAAAAGAGAGAAAACAGATACTTGAATTTCGTCCTAATTGAATAAAAGTTTTCTGTCTCGCCTGCACGATGAACAAAAGTTTGAATTGACTTTTGTTTACAGATTGTTCACTGTTTGCCTGTCGGATTGTTCTTCTTTCAAGTGATGATACAATAATCCGCCCTTTTCCTCTGCACTTCAAATTGATCGTTTAGATTTAAGTTGTCGGAAAGAAAAATCAATAAGAAAACATACATTAACTTTAGAATTTTTTCCTTTTAGTTCATCCCGTCTCGACATCGTCGTACTTTTCGGCGACTTCTCCACGAAGTCCACGTTGTTCAACACCCATATTCGCAAAACAAAGACGAACACGGCCATTTATTGCGTGCGAGCTTTGTCGACAACGTGCCTTTGCATCGATGAATCCAAACAAACCCGAACAAAAACACGTTTCCTATCACCATACAACAACACTTGTTCACTGTCAAAATCAAACAAATCTAAAAGTCCGCCGCCGACGTTCCTCTATTGAACAATTACTTGTCTGGATCGTTTAATCTAATCATGAACTTTTTTGTCTAATTCTTCCTATTCGAACAGTAATCCTTGACATCCTCTTCCATGTGTAGATAGACTATTCCGTTAGACTTTCTGTTTCGTGTTTAATAAAAAAAAGAGACGAAAGATCTTCGAATTTCGAATGTAGTTTACACAATGATAGGTTGGTTGCGTATTAGCGGAACTAAATACTTTCTTAGAGTGAATATTGACACGCTTATCGATCGGTTACAATCTGTTGTGATGATTAGTTGTTTATCATCGTTAATTAACAAGCGTTTGTTATTCGTGATGTAAGACAATATGTCTTCAAAGAAACTGTTGATTAAGTTGCAGTAAAACGAATTTTGAAGATCTATGATAACTATGCAAAACTTGTGCAATTTTCGAAAAGCATTATTTATACGATTTTTTACTGATAGATGTCACCTAAATTCGACAAATATTAAAATTTTGAATATTTACCTCTTGACGACGGAATGTTATCCTAATCGCGAAACTTCGTTTTGAGTCTGCGCTCGACACATTTTCCTCTCATAATATAATTATTTCATTACGTTGAATTATACATCACAAACAAATCGTATTTGCTGAAACAGTTCTTTTGTTTCTTTCTTCATATTTGAAAAGACGAAGATCTATTAATATCAAACAATACAACATACATATCTTTACGTTGACATCTCTAATCACACATTTTCTCTCAAGTCTGTTTATTATGGATGAAAATTATCTCGTATCAATTTTGAACTGTACTGAGCAATGCTGCAAACTACTTTTGTGTACATCATGGTTAGTTTGATATGCATAAATTCCCTTGCTAAACTTGTGAATCTATCTATTTTGTTGCAGTAATACACTTCCGCGAGATATTGTGACCATCAATGGTCTAGAACCTATCGTTTGTCTGTATGTATATCGGATCATTTGTGAGCTTTACTCGATCTACGCTCATTCTGTTTAAGCACATGTGCGGAAAAACAATATTCCAGTGGCAAAATACCTTATCTCTCGTTAATTCAACCGAATATCAAATGCAATAAAGTTTTGGCATTACTCAACCGAACATTTCGCACTTTGTATGATTTAAGTACGTAACGTCTTTTTTTTAATAGAAGATGTTGTATCCGATTTATTGGCGGTTATAGGTGATTCACCGAATGAACCGAAAGAACACATTGAACAGAAGAAGGAAGCAATAAAAGAAGGCGTGTTAACATGTTTGAATCTACTACGCTCGACAATTCGGGAAACTAATCAAATTGCACCAGTCAATGATTCGAAAAAGAAAATTATTATAAAGAAAAAGAATTTGAATATTCTCCACAATGAAAGTGATGAGGAAGAGAAAGAAAACCAATCTATCACACCTGAAATTGAAGAGAATGCTGTTCGTCGGAAGACTGTTCGTGGTTCAAACGCATCCAAACGGTCAGTTAGTATTAAAACACCAGAAAATGAATCTCCCCCGAAACGGACCAGAACTACTGAAGATATTGATGCGCCATTATCAGTCATCAGTCCAACTGTAGTAAAAAAAGGAACGACTCCTGTTCGAAAGAAACTGAGCAACGATGGTGATGAGAAACAAACCAAATCACTCCGTTTGACACGAAAAGTTCAACAGACAGCAGATGAGACAAAATCAATTGATTCAAATAAAAGTGCGAAAAAGATTAAGAAAGACGAAGAAACCGATGTAAGACTTCATTTGTTTGCAATATTGTGCACTGTTCGATGGTTATTTAGGAAAAGCCAGCAGCTATTCGTAAGAAAACTCTTTCATCCAATAAGTCTTCGCATGACGTACGCAACGATAAAGGCGAATCACTATTACATCAAGCAGTGAAAAAAGCGGATATAAATCGTGTCAAACAACTGATTGAAGAAGGACATTCAGTCAATACCATCGATCACAATTCTTGGACACCAATGCATGAGGTAGAGTTCTTTAGTTATTTTTTTTTCAATAAAAAAATAATCGAGAATTTTTCATTCTAGGCAAGTTCGATGGGTGATCTTCCATTAATGAAGTTGTTACTTGCACATAATGCCAATATTAATGTTCAGGGTGGTAACGAACGAATAACTGTTTTGCATGAAGCATTGTTGAATGAACCTGTTAACGAATCTCTTATTAAATTTCTACTTGAAAATGGTGCCGATCCACATATAAAGTATGTTGAAACGAAGGTATCTTCTTTTTTTTTCTATAATGATTGAATGATTCAGAGATAAAAATGGTAAAAGTGCCATTGATCTTGCAGTCGATCTTAAGCTTTCATCTTTATTCGAAAAGACTCAATGTACAAAACCTTCACACAATGATGCACCGATTGCTCCACCTGCTCGACGTCGAGCTCGAACAACATCATCATCGAATGTTCTCTTTTTTACTGGTTTTGATAAAGCACGGAAAGAATCTTTAATAAAATCTGTGCAAACGATCTTTGGTCGTAAATGCGTAACAACAGCGAGAAACGTGGAAAATAATGGTTTGAATGAACATGTTTATTGATTTAGTAGATTTTCGTTTTGTTCTAGTGACACATATTGTTGCATGTGGTGAACAGGACAAAATTGCCTTTCGGACGATAAATTATCTTCGTGGGATTGTTCTGGGCAAGTGGATTGTTTCGGAGAAATGTAAATATGGAGAGACGTATTGTCGGATTGCTTTCATTGAATTTGATTTTCTCATCAATCAGGGATTGATGAATGTATTAAACAAAAACAATGGATTAGTGAAAGTGAATACGAAATAACTGGTTCACAAATCGAACCAACTTCAAATGGATCGCATGCAAGTCGATTGAGACATGAACAAAACGTACGAAATCAATAGAAAGCAACCTACTAAAAATTGTTTTATTTTTTGTATTTGAAGGAAACTCTTCTTTTTGACAAGTGTGAATTTTATCTCTATGGTCAATTTCATACGTACAAAAAAGAAGATATAGCTGATTTGATTAAAATTTCCAGCGCAACATTACTTAAACGTGAACCGAAGCTCCATCGAATCGATAGTGACAACGAAATCAATGCAAATAATTCATCGCCGATCAATTACATTATCTATGAAACGACAGTACCAGACGTTCTTCTTGATAATAATCGTATAAAACACATAACACTACTTGATTTTTTGGCTTGTATAGACTATTATGATACTCATGGACGATTAGATAATTAAAATGCAATAATGTCTCGATTTTTTATTTGTAGATACATAAATATCCCTAGTAGAATCTTGTCTAATAAAAATCTATACTTCAGATAAAGATGTATCATTTTTTGTCTACTTATTAAATTGAACACGGCTATGAAAGTGTCTTCAGAGAATTAATCATTATTTTATGATATACAAATTGTTTAGATTATCAAGTGATTGTTGATAGAAAAAGCGATAATAGTATGTCGAATGAAATAATGCTAAACAAGACTTCAGTTGATAATGATGAAGAATTGGTGCAAAAAGCAACAGATAAAATCGATTGTCCGAATCCTTTAGAACCAGAATCTCACCGGAAGATTTTTATTAACAATCTTTCATTTAAAGTCACTCATGAAACATGTCTAACTTATTTGTCACAATTTGGAGATGTCTCGGTAAGTCACTGACTTTTATTTTAAAAAAACCCTTCAATCCCGATGTTCAAATATCGAAAACAAACTAAATAGTTTTCTTCTTCATAGGATTTCTTTATAGTTCGTGATCCACAAGGTCGATCTCGAGGTACAGAATCGTTGTTCTTCACTTTGTCGACCAGTAATTTGATCACTTACATTAGGGTTTGGTTATGTTACCTATACTTCATCGAAAACAGTCGATCGATTTATGGCTGCTCGTCCACATCGGATTGACTCGCGTGAAATTGTAGCAAAACGAGCGATACCAAAGTTGATAATGAAAAAATCAGAAACAACCATAACTTCCAAACGATTATTCGTGAGCAATATTCGCGAGGCAACCATTAGTGAGCATGATCTTAATGAATACTTTGCAAAAGTATGCTCAGATTTCCAGCGGATATTTATATATACTATCTTTTAATTATAGTATGGCAATATTATCGATGCTCAATTGAAGAAAACAGGTGAAGGGAAACTACGCGGTTTCGGGTTTGTGGAGTTCGACGAGTAAGATTTCTGTTGGCAGAGATTGCTAGTTTGTATTTCATGACATTTTCATAGTTATGACCCAGTAGACAAAATTATTTTGGAGAAAACACATGTTATCAAGGGGAACATTGTCAGTGTTGAGAAAGCAGTACCTAGAAGACAAACTTCATTTACAGCTGACCTAAGTGAAAGTCGCCATGGTAACTCATTTGCTTATTCATCAAACACGAATCTAAATATGGTTTCCGGAAATGGTGAATCGAATTTTGGTGGCAATAGTTATAGATCGTATAATAAACGACCGGTACCTTATAGTAACATTAGAAGACCTTGTGAAAGTCATATGCCACTATTTGACAACTCAGGATTTATGAACAGATTTGATGCACCGGTTGGGGATTTCAATAATCGTAAATAATCACCTTATGATATATTTTCGATGTGAATATATACGGAACTATTTAGCTTTCGGAGCCTTCGCTGGACCTTCTGCCGTAGACTTCGGTCAAAACTATGTATCAACATATGGTGGTGGTCCAATGCGTTGCGGAAATGCAACTTCCAGCTATAATCATGGTTATTGGGATTATCGTTAATATAGCATCACGAAACGTCTAGTACCCGTCAATGTCTCTCACATCTTTTCCATTGTATTCTACATCTATGTATATACGTATCCAAGGTAACCGCAGAGATTCACATTTGAATATGACTGACGTTTCTTATATTATGAAGGCACCTGTTGACAACAATCACTTGGCAAATTCGTTTTTCATTCACTACTCTGATTTATATGAATGCAATTTCTTTGTGAGCTAAGTAAACTTATGTTATGAGCGATTTACAGCAGATAAAACAACGAAAATGCATTATTTTTTCTAAAATATTCTTCTACCCAAATTGATAAGCTACTGACAGCAAACATAAAGACGAAGAAGGAAAAGAAAACACATTTGATAAGAGTAAATAATGAACACACATACACATAAACAACAGCGCCGATTTTGTATATATGTATTATCACTGTTGTGGACCTCGCGCTGTTCATCGTCAGATTTGAGAAGAAAAGACAAGTTCCACGCACAAACATGTAAAATAAAAGTCAAGACAGAGAAAGAACAAACAAAAAGAAATGAGAATTCCATAGAAAGATTAAACGAACGCAAAGATTCTACGATAAGAATTATCATTATGATAGAATGTTGATAAGAAAGAAAGATATTTTTTGTACAAATTTCATGATTGATGATCAATATTTGTAGACGACTGCTGTTACCATTGTTTATCTTGATCAGGTGATAAGATGAGAGTTAGCCAATATTGAACATGATGGTGTGAGTCGTTATTTGGCTAGAAAACAAAGAAATTTCATTCATAAAAATCAGTTTTCATTCTTTGGAATATCTCAGCTTGCACTACAATGTATCTTTAGTTGAAGAAATCACTAGACTCTTGATAGACAATCACACATAGATAATTTCATTTAATAATACCTTCTCTTTTGATTAATTAAATCACCTATGACATTTCATATGAATATCCTTTCGCCAAAACCAATCCATAGACATAACATAACCAGTTTCCTCCATATGCCCACTTCACCATGAACTACATAACGAACGACTGACCAGCTTGTCTTGTCGGCGTCAGTCTCTTTTTTTCTTTCTTTCTTTTTTTTTGTATTACTCAAAACTTTTCTCTCTTTTTTTCTCTCGTTCTCGTTCATTTGCATCGATGTCTGCCTTGTGCACACGCAAGAGAATGACCGAGGAGTATTGGTCGTTGGTCAATTGACGAAGAATTATCAAATAAGACCATCGAAGAAAAAGAGAAAAGAGAAGAACTAAATATACATAAGAAATGACTGGCTACCCAATGTTGATGGTTTGTCGATGTGCATATGAACGAGTGCGCATCTGTCTAGACAGACCGCTCTTCTAACCTATTTAGTGGTTGTCGCTATTGTGAAAGAGACTGATAGGGCTACTAATGAATGTGCATGCATATGAATATGTATGTATACCTAGTGGAAAATGTGTTAAAAGAATGAAAAAATAACACAAAATGAACTGTTTGATAGAGAAATAATACTAAGTTCTACTATCAACAATTGAGAATACGTCGGTAGACTATGAGTCAACTGGGACAAAACTATAGCGAGAGACCAATCTATGGACAGACAGATCATGTGTATATACGATGTTTTATCTAAAAATCAACATGAAAATTTTCATTTCATTATACTATATGAATTATTCATATGAGATACCCCAGCAAGAGTTGATTGATGATAGTATATGGATGGTTTAGTACTCAAAACTATTTGCAAACATGTGATATATACATATTCGAGAAAAATATTCAAAAATCATGCATCTTTGTGAGATTATGATGCTAATGCAAAGAAAGAATTGATGTCTATTGCAATTTGATGAAAACATATTGATTCATGAGATTATCTAGATGCAAAGTTTCAATTCTAAATTATTGTTTCAATTGGAATGAACTCCATCACAATATAATATTGAATATAAAACGTAATATGTTTACTGATATAGCAAAAAACACGATTTTACCGATCACCTGTGTGATGATAAACGAAGCTGTATTTTTACGAGTGTTTGTGTCGACGTACTCGACACACTACATTACCGAGTATTTCAAAACGAAAAGAAAGTAGCTATCACACTGAATACCAAGTAGTTCGATAGAAAAAGTATTTAGTTACATAGTTGCTGTGCTCTGGTTTAGTTGGACACTAAAATGTATAGAGCTGATAGAGAATTCGAAGCGAGACTTGCGCGACATCTATCATTAATCTGATTCGATAGAATATTTTCAGATAAAGTCATTCAGTCGTCATCCAACAGCACACGTGCTATTTTGTTTTTTCTTTATTCTATAAAACAATAGGATCTTAACGAATTTCAACATTAAAAATAAAAAGAACAAGAATGCTTGAAGTTGAAATAACACAACAACGTTCGATTCATACAACCAAATGGGAGATTGTTCTCGGTATGTGAAATCGCAAGAGGCAATTGAGTTCTATTGTCATACAATCTTTCAGGCATGTCTCTGCATCAAGTCATCAAGTTACTTAAACAGAATGATGATCAAATCAAGTCAGTGACTTTGGTTTATAATGACAAAGTAACGAATCCACAAGATATAGAATCAATTTTATCATTAAGACGGCTTTTGTTGTTTCAGGATCCATTAAGTGCTGATTATACTTTGAATCTATCGAACGATAGTATTCTACTTCATTTTGATTCAGTTACTCAGCGATTAAAAGTAAAGAGAAAGCACGAAGTTTACGTTTTGACATTTTGAACTTATTTTTCATTGATAGCTCATTGAATTATATGATTTAAAGAAGGTGAAACTGAAATACTTGTAAGTAATAACTATAATCATTTGATTAAATATTCTGTCAAATTCTTCTAGTGGTAATTGCTTCAACAGTCCTCAAATCGTACCGACGATTGAAAATATCAATGAAATTTTTGGACCAACAAGACCCGGTGGTCAGTAGAAGAAACTGTTATGTTTTCTTGTTGTATTTCAATTGATTTGTTTTTTTAACTAGATTATAACCGCGAAAGTCAATCATTTCTAATGCATTTTCCTGGCTTGACATTCTTTTTCAATCAAATTGGTCCACAAGTTGAGGTATCTGATTCGCCCATCACTCGCACTAATATCATTGATAATGATATCTTTCTTTGTAGACAAAATCAATGCATGGTCTTCATTCTCTTCAATTTCCACCGGGTCAATCGCCCGTTGTTTCGAAGATATACATCTACTATGGAAACGTTCCATTAGAATTCAGGTTTGTTCGTTATCGCAACGATTCGCCAATAGTTTCTGTTCTTTGATATATTGTCAGTGTTCCACCATTGCCAGTCAATTGCTTTAACCGATCGGTATTTCTTGATAGACTATCAAATTTGATAGAGAATCAAAAGACTATTGGATTAACATGTCGCTTGATGGTAGAAGGTATGCAAACTAAATTCGTGTCGTGGACAATCATTCAATCAGGATGTTTTATCTAGGTCATGCACCGAAAACGTATGATCCCGATGATCATATTGATTATCTTGATGCAACTGTTCATTTCGATGACACTTGTCAGGTAAATTAGCGTAAAGATTCTTATCTCGAATTCAATTATGTTTGATTTCTATAGGATGTTCTTTCCGTTATTGGCAGTCCTAATAGTGTGTATTACAAAACGGATGACAAGATAAAAATTCATAGTCCATCACCAACAAACTCCGGAAGTCAACGCTCGCAGGATAAATCTGATTTCTACTACAATTACGTTAACTTTGGCATGGTAAAACGATTGATTATGACGTGATGAAATTTTTTAAAAAAGTTTAAATTTCTTTCCTGTAGGATATCTTATTTGATGGACAAAGTCATACAGTGAAGAAATTTATTTTACATACCAATTTTCCTTGCCATTATCTTTTCGATAGGTAAAAACTGAATGTTCTCTGTCCTGATATTTATCCGATGTTTTTCAGTTATTTCCCGTGCAATTTCGAATTAACTGTACGAAACCATGTGACAGGAAAAGAAATTGTAGTTACACCATCTACACGAGTAAGAAATATTCTTTTGATTGTTTGCTATGCAAATCTTGTTGAATTCTTTAGTGGCCAGCTGTACAAGAAATCTTTGAGAATCGAAATCCACCTGCTATCCTTCATCGTTCGTCATCAACAAATACAACAAATCCATTTGGACCAACATTCTGTCATCTAGTTAATGATGACATGATCTTTGAAGTCATGTCCAATGGTTATATTGCTTCAATAAGTTTTTTTAACGAACGTGATTGATCTTTCGATTTTCCTTTGCCGCGCTTTTCCTTTCCTCTCTCTCTCTTTATCATTTTGTATCAAGTGTATATATGATGATACTTTTGTTCATTAACCATACGTCTCTACACTTATATAGAAATATCCATCTATTTTTCATGCGTTCTTTTTTCATTGGATTCAGATGTACATATGATGATTAGAAAACTTTAAAAAAAAAACAAAGACAGCGACATCAAGAGTATAATATTCTATTTCAGATGGCAACGGTTTCTTTAGCTGGTCGAGTAGCACTTGTAACAGGTGGAACACGAGGTATTGGCAAAGGTATTGCCATTGAATTAGGAGCAGCTGGAGCGCTCGTTTATGTGACAGGTAGGCACTATTTTAGTCGATCTACGGAGTGAACAGATATCGTGTATTCTATTGAGGTCGAACAATGAAGTCAAGCAATGGTAAAAGTGGTAGTTTGGAAGAAACAGCCGAAGCCGTAAAGATACAAGGAATTTCCTTATGTGTAAAGGAGGACGCTTTGTATTTAGATTCGACAACGCGGTGGTAAATGTATACCAGTGCGTGTTGATCATGAGAATATGGATGAAGTTGAAGAACTTTTCCAACGTATTGCTAAAGAACAAGATGGTCGACTTGATATACTAGTCAATAATGCTTACAAAGGAGTGGAAGTATGTAGTAGATTATTGATTTTTAGCTTCTAGTTTACTTCTGTTTAGCCAATATTATCTTCATCGGGTAAATCGTTTTGGGAGGTTGAACCAAGCTTGTTCGACGATATTAATAATGTCGGTTTACGGTATGGTTACGAAATCAATACTTAATTCGATGATAAGTCGTTGTATTTTCATTCTAGTAATCATTATTATTGTACTGTTCATGCTGCTCGCTTGATGGTACCTCGAAAACAAGGTCTTATCGTTGTCATTTCATCAGCCGGTGGTTTACGTTATTTGTTCAACGTTCCATATGGAATTGGAAAAGCTGCTGTCAGTTTCTTTACGTTATTCTTGGATGGTGTAATAATTCTCGGAATATTTTAGTGTGATCGAATGGCAGCAGATACGGGAACAGAATTGAGAAAACATAACGTAGCTTCGATTTCACTTTGGCCCGGTGCAGTCTTCACAGAAACAATCCAAGCATCAGAAAATTCAGTTGGCGTATGTACCGAACCCGAGCACTATTTCTCATAATAGATTATTTTGATTATCTTCGTTTCAGTTTCGCAAAATGTTAGAAAAGTATGGTAAACCAGAAACACCAGAATATGCCGGTCGCATCATCGCTCATTTAGCACAAAGTTTGTGTTATTCTCACCAGTTTTCAAAATTGATTGAGTTGCTCTTGAATAGATCCATCGGTAATGGATTATTCAGGAAAAATAGTATTGACTGCTGACTATGGAGATGCTCATAGTATCGTCGATTCAGATGGTAGGTCATCGGTGAATCAAATCCTCTTACATGCTTATCAAATGTTTAGGTCAACCTGCCGTGAATATTCGTTCATTTAGCTTTCTTGTTCGACAAGCACCTGCTTTAAGTTGGTTAGCTGGATGGATTCCTGGCTTTTTGAAACTTCCATACTGGTTATTTCATCAAGGAGGAAATAAATTTTAAGCGTTTTGATCGTTTTATTTTCAGTGATTTAATCATATTTTGTGATTTACTCTTTTCGTTTTGATAACCTGCCAACTTGATAGAATAAAATCTACAGCATATTCTTTTCACATTGTCTCTAATTAGACTTAAACTGAATCTTCTAGTTTCAGCAATTATGACAGCTCCTATAGAAAACGACGTGACTTTCAAGTCACACTTTTGTGCTTGACATTTGCAGTTCAGAAATTAAACTCTTTGAACTTTTATTTTAGATGGTTAGAAAATCGTTCAGTTAAACATAAAACACAGTCAATATAAAGACGAAAACCGTGTGTATTAAAACCATGTTTGTCATCGTTGGGCGCGAAACAAGGCGTTTCCTATGTTTCATTTTAGATGGCGTCAGAAATCAAATTTACTCAAGATACGATGAAACAATTCAATGTAGCAAAATCGTTCAATGTGAATAAAGATCGTATAAATGCAATGAATTTTTCACTTGACGGCGAAACCTTGATTTCATCGAGTGACGATGATTCCATTGTGATTTACGATTGTAAAGAAGGAGAGTACGTAGAACTTTCTTGACCAAGAATCTATATCGAATATCATTTGAAATGATTTTTGTTCAGAACAAAACGAACATTATTCAGTAAAAAGTATGGAGTTGATCTTATTCATTTCATCCATGGAACTGAACAAGTGCTACATGGCTCGACCAAGGTCGATGGTCTGTGTCTTTCAATCGATAGGTCATACTTACATAGATTGATTTGTAATAGATTCCGTTCGATTACTACAATTGGAAGGAAACAAATATATTCGATACTATTCAGGACATACGAAACGGTAAATGACATAATTTGATAACTAGATACTCTTCGTAGAAGTCCAATACGAATGATTTCGTTTTCCTTTCAGTGTCGTGAGCTTGAGTATTTGTCCAACAGAAGAAACATTTCTCACATCTTCAATCGATAATACATTACGTCTTTGGGATGTACGAATTCCAACTTCACAAGTAAGGATGACTACTTCTGAAAACTATTTTTTATATTCTTCTTTGACAATATCTAGGGCCTTCTCAACATGCAAACAGCAGCTGGACCGCATAGCCGTCCTGTAGCGAATTTCGATCCTGAAGGTAATTCAATTCCACACAGACCAGTCATCATCATCTTTCGTTTTTCGATACGTTCAGGCGTAGTCTTCGCAGTCGGTATTCAATCGTCTCAGATAAAACTCTACGATATTCGTCATTTTGATAAAGTATGCAAACTTACCGGCAGGTAGTAAAACGGAAGATCAAAATAAAAATATGATCTTCTTTTTTCAGGGACCATTCACGACATTCCGACCATTGGAAATGATGGATAATAATGACAAAACAACGACAGACTCCACTCTTCCAACTGAACAATGGACACATTTGAAATTTAGTCCAGATGGAAAGATGATTTCAATTGCCACCAATGGTACTAACTTACATTTGATTGAAGCTTTTCAAGGTTTACCTATACATAAGTTTACTGTAAGTGAATTTCGTTGAATCGATTGGTTTTATTTATTTGAATTTCTCTCAGAATATTGTAAATGATCGACACGAACCGTTGCAGTGCTGTTTTAGTCCTGATTCAAGCTATATTTTATGCGGTTTGTATTTCGAATTTCATCAGCACGACAATAAAACCAACTTATGTTTATTTTAGGTTCGGGTGATAACCGTATCCTAATCCACAAAGCAGAAAGTGGCGAAAAAGTTATTGAGAAACAAGTCTGTTATTTTCCATGTAAATTTCTTCTATAAAAGCGAATCTTTGAATCATTTAGACGGAACATACTGGTGCTATCCAATGTATTCAATTCAATCCTGCTTTTCTCATGTTTGCGACAGCTCATACAAACATGGTTTGTCACATTTCCAATATCTCTCTTTCTTATTGTATCATTTTTATATCTTTTCAGTTATTTTGGCTACCTATGATCGATTCGCAACCAACAGACGATACACCATCGTAATAATACACATGGATATTTAGATCAAATGTCTTTTTTATTGTCATAATTTATCTCATCGAGATATTGTCTCTTTTCTTTTTCGTATTGCACTGTTAAAAAATCTTTTCAACTTCTCTTTTGTCAGGCTTGAACTACTGATTATACGTATGTGTTTCAAACATTCTGTTCTTTCTTGTCATGCTCTGGTATTGCGTATTGTGCGATGACGTTCCAATTATATTATACAGGAATTCTTTGTATTAGTTAAAATGATTGAACTCATTCTTAAACCGGATCAAAATCTAGATATCCAGGTTATGACAAACTAACTTTTATGCAATCAGCAATGATAGGAGTCTTTTTAATAATGCACTAATTAAAATGAGGATACAGCATCCGGAAACACTGGTGAGAAAAACATTCTTGTAAAGATCTTACTTAACTAGAATGATTGAAAAGAAAAACTAAAGTTCATCGAGTGCTTAGCGTGTGAATGGTGTAACTGTTGCATCTTGTTTTCCAAAAATTGTTTTCTTGAAATCAGATAACGAAGTGATTGAAGTAAACGGTAATAAACTGGGTATGAAATGGACGAAGAAAAAGAAATAATTTACTTGAATGGATAACAAATCCGATGATGAAGTAAATGTTAAAACAAGTCCACCGAATGTCAATGGAAACCAAAACAGTATATAAATGATAGCTATGCCAACAAGTTGTCGAGTTAATTTACGTTGCCGACGCCATGCTACGTTATGTTGCCGCTTTTGCGAAACAACTCGAATGATAAGACTTACATTAGCTGAAGCAATCATTAGAACTGGAAATACAATGTCAGCAATGAAATCATAAGTTGCAAGTATCGGATAATCAATTAAATAACATGGTATTCCGCAAAAGACCTTTTTTTTCAAAAGAACATTGCTATTTCAATTGAGAGAGAAAAACAAACTTTACCTCATTGTAATACCAATAGTTTTCACACGGATTTAATATAATCACGATGAAATATAACAAAAGTGGGTATAGAGAAGCAAGTGACATTGGTAATAGATGAAACAAGATTCGCTGTTTTCGTGTTATCATCATTCCTCGACGAAATACCAATAAGTGTCGTTCAATAGACCCCCAAGCCATCGCAAATAACAAAACCCCGTTCCATCCGTACTCCCACCAATTCCACCAAAGACAAAAACTATCCGTCGTTGGAAGAACCCAGTTAAAATGATTATAAATTATAATAAACGGAAAATTTGTTGTCAATTGAATAAAACTCACAGTCACGAGAATTAATGTCAAATGATGATCGAGTGTAAGCGTGTTCCATCGTCGAAAAAAATAAATGAAAACTAAGATTGAACAAATCGTCGATGGAATCGATAGAGTAAGTAAAAGCCAAAACTTCACTTGTGATAGCCACGACATATTTTCTTTTTAGACAATAGATCAAACGTACTCTTCTTTAGATACTCTCCTGATATGTTGATACGAAACTAAAATCTTTAATGAAAAGTCTTGTTGAGAATAAACTTCCAACTTCTAATTTCTCGGAAAATTGTAGTCGGGAACGTTTCATTTGTAGTCGAAAGGCGTTTTTAATACGGATTTATTAATTTGTCGTCAATTTCTAGGGAAAACTCTTTTCTTTTTTATTACGCATGTTCAAATCCGATATCATGCTGGTAACATGTGATCAAATTAACAGTGGTTTACTTCGAATGTTTTTAATGAATTCATTTCAGCTCATGGATAATAAGATTCTAATTTTCAACTTTTCCTTTACCAATTGCGAATAATTGCTTTCATCTCGCGAGACTCTTTTCGAAATTGAAAATTTCATCCAATACAAATCAACGCATAAATGATTTGTTTATATTTTCCTTTCGAAAAGGAAATCTGATCATGTTCTCATATTTGTACAGTCGCACACGAATAGATCAATTGTAAATCTCTTGTGTCTTGAAAAGTTCGTCATCATCAATGTCCGATCTGATAAGACATCTCCACATACGCGTGCGTCGGCACCGAAAAACAAATCCAATGAACAACATTCTGCCGCTACCGATTTGTATCAACATGAAACAAAGCTGAGCTTAAATGAATTTTTCTTTCCAAACGAGAAGATGTTATCTGTGATGACGCTGGTGTTACTTCGCTGATGATGATGAACAGAAAAGAAACAACTCATTCCTCTTCTTTTGATCTATGTATTCGCCTTTGTTCAATCTGTGAAAATCTTAGAATATAATTAGCCGACATTCTACACCCATATTCATTAGATAACGACCATGGTATGCCTGTTACTGGATGAACTAGTACTAATTTCTTTTCTTTTTCTCATCAACTTATCATTAACATCGAAATACATTGCTGGTGCTTCTGCTGACTGTCGTCAATGTTATTTCCAAGTAGAATTTGTTCAAGCATATACATATACATACGCACACAGAGATATCTCTACATGCATGCGGTGCATTGACTTGAAAGATCAATCGGAGGTGATAACAAGACCATGTTCTGTGATTGGTGTTTTTTTTCATATACATTTAATTAGTAGTAGGTCTTCCGGGGTGGAATGAAAAAAATTGAAAGATCGTAACGTACTGATGAGAAAACGCCTCGATTCGATTCGAAAGAGAGAGAGACAAAAAAGATCGAAATAGTTGTCATTTCAAGATCTTTGATTCCATGTTGGAATCAAGCGCTTTCTTCCTTGCAAATTATGAAGGACAGCATAAGCAGCAGTCAAGAGAATGTATCATCTTGATGGACGAATGATGAATTGATGTGTTTACATTTCAGATGACGACCGTTCACTTTTTATCCCGTCAGAGCGATGTATGTACGAGTTTTGCTTAGGTAACCGTTCTGTATATATATATATATATACGGATATTTGTTTGGAGAAGAGCCACCTGTTGAGAGATATTGCTCATTTCTGTGCAGATTTAAAGCATCAAATACACATTTGGACAAATCCGCTCTTCTCTTCCCTTCTCTTTTCTTTTCTTTTGACTTTGTTTTTATCCATATGGAGAACTCGTCTCTGTTGTAAGTGAAACAAAAAAAAATGATTAATCGAGACCGAGCGGCAAGCAATGTCAAGAAGATTGTGTACGAAATTATTATGTGTATGTGCAGAACAAATCCACGCCTGCTTAGTTATTGCTGATGCTAAGCTGGTGTGGTGGGAGTGCCATTAGAAAGTCATTTTTCACGCCAATATGCACCTTTCTGCTTGATAGACATAGACCTTTTAGAATAGATACGCATATATATTAGGAAAACTAACTAGGACGAGCAGAAGAAAAAGCAATGTCATCGGTCTCTTTATGCCGATATACATATCTCCATGTCGAATAGAAAGAAAGAAACTAAATATCGAATCAAGCACGCATGAGAAGTGTCTCTTAAATTAACATGTCTTGAAGGTTTTCAGATCAACTAAATGGATCATATTGCACTCTAAAAGAGTCGTGTCCTGGATTTTTAGTACGAACGATGTATTTGTTCAATACATTGTTGAATTGGATTTTCAAAATAATTACTTATGATTTCAACGATGATTATGTATAATGCCCTTTCCTCTGACTATCACATATCGCTAGATGTAAATGTTAGCTACTCAACAACGATTTTTTGTCTTGTGTTCTTTATCCTAACAAAACGAGCATATGAAAGCCAGGCTACCACAGTGACGACAAGACAAGTGTTGAAAGACAAAATGTTTACACTAACTTCTATACCAATGAAATTACAACAACAGCCTATTCGATGATAGTAAAAGTGATGACGCTTGTCATCATCAAGCCCAATGTCCCATTTTGTTTCTACTCGACGATTGTGCTATATGTCAAATGATAATTAGAAAGGCGCCGCTCTCCTTCTCTCGGGTACACATACGTTCTTCCTCTCAGACATAGCTACTGTTCCACGTGCTAAATAGATCTATTCATTCTCATTGTATTCCAGGCGTACATTCTTCATTCTGGCAACAATCCATTATCAATCGTATAATCGAAAAGGCAATATCGATTGAACAATAAGTACATCATCAAAGCAGTTCTATTCGGCTAACTGCTCATTGAAGTAATTTGAAATAAGAAATCGAAAAAATTATCATTCATCCTGAACCTACGATTGGTTAACATCAAATAGCGAAGGAGAAAAACGGGAGAGAAATAAGAAGGAAGTTGTCGTTCCGCTGGGAATTTTATATAAATAAAAAAAAAGAGAAATTATGATGAACTCCAATAAAGGAAGAATCATTGCCATTAAACGAGTCGTTGCAATCGAGATGAAAGACAGTTCACATGAGTAGTTGCAGGCTGGTATATCACTCAAAAAATTCTCACGTAGTATTGTAACGCAAACCATTCATTTTCTCTTTAGCTACAGATGCTCATCATCGTTATACAGGTTGCGTATCATGACAGAAAAGCACGTCGATAGGATGTGATGTGTACAAGTTAATTTTTTTTGACTCGTCGTCATCGGTTATTGTACGTGTTCGACACACACGAGTCGTCAATCAACGAGCATTTCTCCCTCTCTCTCTCTCATTTTGTATGTTTCCTTTTTCCTTTTCCTTCTGTATGTATATATGTATGATAAACAGTATTTGCATGCGTTTTTGCCAAGTGATCAGTTGCAATAACACCAGCAGACGTGCTCACATGAACCTATTGCACGAATCAACCGTTGCTGCTGCTGCTGATGATAATGATAATAATACTAGACAACTTTCACTGGTAGAGAGCGAGAGAAAATAGAAAGAAGGGAAGCAGGTTGGGACTAAGCAAAAGCTGCCAAATGACAGTGGCAAAAGGGCAAAATAAATCGATACTTGTTCGTCTCTGGAGTGTTGATAAGTATAAACAATTATGGGCACTGACAACGACCAAACAGCTATGATGGAAGAAAATGATGAGATCTACTTATTTCCTTTTAGGCTTGCCGCTCTCGCTCTCCCTCCTTGCATATTGCGGATAATGTGCTTGCTCATCTTTCTTCTTCTTCGA